TGTTATAATTCTTCAGATCTTTAAAATACATTCGTGCTTCACCTGCTGTGCAGGCTCCATTCTTTCCTGTCATACTTGTCCAGGGGAAACATGGTTCGAGGTGCCCTGGCCTCCCTCTGAACCCCTCCCCCAGGGTCTGTGACTGGAAGATGCCTGGAGAAGTCAATCTCTAATTTGCTCATCCTCTGACGGGCCCCTGCAGTTAGGAGACAGGAACCACCAGGATTTCTGAGCTGGAGGAGCCTAGGTGGGGAGGAGGACTCAGGCGAGACGGCCAGATGTTGGGGGATACTGGTCAGGGTGAAAGGCAGGAGCGCTCTGCCCTGGGAACCTACCCCACACAATCATTTCCTGAAACAGGTGTGTCCAAGGTAGCAGAACTTACTCCATAATTTACGGGTTCTGGTACAAAATGAAAGTGTGGGACTCCCTTAAAAATCTGTTAGTAATTTAAGGTGAGACAACAGAGCAAAAACCAACTTCAAATGACCAACTTCAGAGCAGGGCGCTTCGAAGTGTAGAGTCCTGTGTGACTGCACAGGCCACGTGCCCATGAAGCCAGTCCTGCTTGGCAACTCATCCCCTTCCAGAAAGGTATCAGGAGCGTGGAGCAGCAGAGAGAAAATGAGGAAGGCCAGCGCAGGAGCAAGACTGTTAAGAGCGAGCCCGGGGCCAGCCCACCGGACCCTGGCCCGGGACCCTCTGGGGCCTCGCTAAGGCTGCCTGTCAGGCTGATACGGTGACAGGATTTGGGGGGCTGGAGGGGAGGGGAGAAGTAGATGTGGCTGAGACAGGTGTGCACAGAACACCTGTATAGTCACCAGCCTTGTGGCAGAGCTGAGCCGGTTCAGAGCTGTTCCAGGGAGCGGGGGAAGGAGGTGCCAAGGCCATCCTCAGGGGAGAGGGCCTGGGTGTGAGGGCCCTTGCAGAGCCAGGGTAGGGACACTGACACCGAGAGTAGTGTGAGCAGTGGCAGCTCTCACTGTACACCAGGTTCTGTGCAACACCCTCAGATCCACCCCTCAAGCCCGGTGCCAGTGTCATCCAGCGCTAGGATGGGGGAGAGGACCAGAAAGGTGAAGGGGAGGAACTTCAAGGTCGACTGCTCATCTGCTCTTCCTTCCACATCTAGGTCCACTCTATAGGGAAGGATTGGGGAACAGGGGTCTGGAGAGGTGGGGAACTGGGTACCAGTGGCAAGGGGGATCCCAAAGGTCCCCACTTCCAGGATGGGGGTCTTCCTCACAGCTGTTACCCCACAGCCCCAGGGTGCTGCCCTCACCTCTGTGCCCCCAGCTGTTCATTGAACTGGGCAAGGGGTGTGTGTGTGTGTGCACGTGCGCGCACTCGCGTGTGTGCTTCTTGGACACGGAGGGGCTTCCGCTCATCCCAGTACCCAGAGGCCAGGCCAGCCCTGCCGCCATGTCACCTTTCCTGGTCAACCCCCAGATGTTTGTCCCGGCGCCTTGGTTACTGTTTTTGAATCAGCTGTGCGGTAGCCCTTTCCACTCTATCCGGGTTTGATCGTCCATAAAAGAATTAATGGTCCCTGCAAATAAAGAAGCACAACAGAGGAAGGCTTTTTAGACAATCAATTAAAAGCCTAGGAGAGGGAGAGGGATTATCTCATTGAAATATCAATTTTTAATAGCACTGCAGCTTTGAGTTTCCTCTCAAAAAACTTTGCACAGTCCATTTGCCGGCCCTGCTTTATAACTGCATCTCTGGCTGCCTTTGACCAACCTGAGCCTCTGGGGCAGGCCGTGGGGTACCCAGAGCAGATGCCTAAGGTCCTTCATTCATCTGTTCATCCACTCAGTCATTCATCCATCGTAGGCTTCGTGGCTCCTGCTGTGTGGCGGGCACAGGTGCTGCGGGGAGGAAGGTGACTAACAAGGGCCAGGTCTCAGCCCCGGGACCCACAGGCTGGGGAGGCGGAGAGGGAAGTCAGCAGCAGCCAGGTGCCTCAGCTGCAAGCACGGGAGAGCCACTGGGAAAGTCAGTGCGGGGGGGTGGGGGGGTGGTGGGACTGAGGTGGAGGGCAATGGACACAGGAGGGGGGCACGTGTGTGGCTGGAGGGGCCAGAAAGGCCTGGCTTGGGAAATGACATTGAAAGGGAGCCTGAGAGAGATGGGGAGGCGGGTAGGCCATCTCCAGGCAGAAGGAACAGCGTGCCTGGAGGCTCCGAGGCAGGAGCAGCGGGTTTGGGGTATTGCAAGGGTGGAGAAAGGAGGCCAGTGGGCAGAAGCGCAGGGAGCAAGCGGGAGGCGAGGCCACGGCGGCCACACCACACCATCTGGACCTCCAAGGGCCCTGGAGCCCGGGGAGGAGAGTGGGTAAATGAAAGCACATGGGGCGCCCCTGGGAACCCCATTCAAATGCTGCTGCTTCGTTGCTGTGAGGCTGCAGGAAGCTGCCGAGGGCCTCAGCCTGGGTTTTCTCACCTGGAGGGTGCGATGACCGCTGGGATCACCTCCCAGGCAGTCCTGAGCATCAAAAGAAAGAGCAGGCAGACTGCCTGGCGGGGCTTCTCTTTTCCCTTTCTGACCCTACCCACTCTGAGCTTGGCAGCTTCCTCAGTTTACCCCTCGGGGATTGGGCGATCAGATAAACTCTCTCTGATAAGGAATTCCCACCAGTTAAATTCCCAAGGGATCTTGTTACACAGCAAGCTCCAGTTTATCGGCAGATGGGGTGGCTCTCCAGGAACAAAGGTGCCTTTGCTCTCTCCAAATGCTCCCTTAAACCCCACTGCGCCTGGGAATGAAGACACCTCGGCTGCTAGGCGAGAGGGGAGGTTTCTGAGATTGGATGGGGCAGGGATGCTGAGTGTGGCTGGGTCAGTCCCTGCAGGTAGAGGCAGATCCTGGACAAAGATCCCCGCCGTGTGGGCTGGCCTGCTGCTCCTGTCTGGACCACCGGCCTCCCACACAGTGCTGCTGGGTGCTGAAGTCGGTGCAGGGGGCTGACTAGCCTCCTTGCTAGCCCCGTGTTAGCAAGCACCCCTGCTGCTTATTTGGAAAGTAAGACTTGGGGAGGTGGAGCTCCTTGCCTCATTAGGGTGTAGATGAATCCACACCTGCTTGGCCGCTGTCTGGAGTTACTGCAATGGAGGGGTCACAGGAGTGAAGGATCACAACCCTGGTAGAAGGACCTGGAGGGGCGGGTCCCGGGACACAGCTGTGGGGTGCCCTTGGATAAGCCTCTCTGCCCTCTGACCTCAGTTTGCTCACCCACCGTCCACCTGCCTAAGTTAGAGGACATGTGAGGCCTGGGTGAGAAGGGGCCTCGAGTGATCTGAAGGCAGGAGGGGGCGATGACATGCGCTCTCCTCTCCCCTCCACTGCTCAGATCCAGGCTTAGACCTGAGCCAGGGCCCTGGAGAGAACATCTGGCCTCCGGAGATGTCTGGATTCAAATCCAGCTCGTGTCATTGCAGGCTGGTCCCTTCCCTTGCTGGGCCTCAGTTTCCCCATAGTGCCATTGTCCACTTCCCACTTGCTGTGAAGGTTAAAAATAATCGGTGCTATGGAGAGGGCATGAGCTCCGAGTGACACCCTCTGTCTTTTCCTGGAGATCCAGATTCCCATGGCAGGACTCCTGCCCTCAAACTTGAGGTCCAGGTGCAAGCAGATGAGGCCCCCACCAAATCGCTGATCAGCCTGACCCAAGCACTGACACTCCGGCCCCAGGCAGGTGTGGAACCCATGCTGGGTAGCCCGTGGGGGAGGGAGAGAGGCCACCGCCAGGGGCCCAGCTGGACTTTATCCTGGAGCAACAGGGAGCTGAGACCAAGGCCACTTAGAGAATGTGCTTAAGGGAGAGAGTCTAGAGCACCCCACGTGCAGGATGTGGAGTGAGACTTTATCCAGGGGTGGGGAGCCACGGCTAGTTCCTGCGTGGGGGAGGGGTGGGCCAGGATTCTTCTCTGAAGTGGGGGAAACCTGGGAAACAGGAAGCTGTGGAGGAAGGCTTCACATGTTTACACCTTATCAGGCCCTCTCCTGGGGGTGGGGGGGTCTGAGAACCATGGAGACCACCCCCAGCACAGCTGGGTCTGTGGGGCTGGAGGAAGACTTGGGAGGCTTTCCAGGGAGCCCCTGCTCCATTGGGAGGCGCCTGCCTGGGGCCTGGGCGGCAGCTGGTTTCTTGCAACCTGCAATTAGTAGGCAGAGGAGCTGGGTGGTGGTGGTAGGGGGTGGGCTGAGAGCTGCAGCTGGTTCTTGGGTGCTACCTCTGCCTCCTCCCCCTCACCCACTGCCCCAGCGGGGTGCCCAGGGTAGCTGACAGGCCTGTAGGCAAACAGGGCACTGGGGTCGTGGGAGGAGATGCAGAGCCCTGGGAACTCCAGAAAGATAATACTTTATAGTACAGTCAGATTATTGAAAGTGGGTTTGGAAAACCCAAGGGCTACTGTCCCCATTTTACAGATAGGGACATAGAAGCCCAGAGAAGGTCAGGAGTTGCCAGAAGACACAGCCAGTCAGAAAGCAACTGGGCCTAGAAACCAGGCTTGTCTGGACCATGGAACTGGGCATGGGGGGGTCTTACTCTACGCGTGGATTTCTGCCAGGTAGAGCCAGACTGGGCAGAGCCACCTCTGCTGGAGAGCAACCTTCAGCTGCCAGTCTCCAAGTGCAGGGGGAGGTGGGGCTGGGTGGAGGGAGGAGGGGCCAGGTGTGGGGAGGAGGGGCTGGGTGGGGCAGTGTCTGGCCTAGCAGGTTCTCCAGCCTGTTGGGGCACTCCAGGCGGGGAGGAGAGGCCCTGGCATTACTGCCCTTGGGCTGTTGTGACTTTAGGGACCTGCCATCTGAGTTTGGGACACTTAGCTGACCTGCAAAGAGACTTGTCTAGGACCCGTCCTGTGGGAATTGTAGTGGACTTCAGTGGAGGGAGGGCAATGTCAGGGTGGTTCTGGCTTCAGCCTTCTGCCGTCCTGGTCATCCTTCCTCTACCCATCCACCCACCCACCCTCCCAACCCTCCATCCACTCACCCATCCATCCACCTACCCATCCGCCCATTCATCCATCCATCCACACATCCTTCTTCCCTTTAAAGAATTCTACGAGGCCCAAGGCACTGTACTGGCTGCTGGAAGGATTCTGTGTCTTCCAGGAGCATCTGGTGGGGTGACAAAAGCAGACAACGCAGTAATATCAAAATGAGCCAAATAGGCTGAGCTTTGAAGGCTGCTGGGGGTTTGATGGGGGAAGGGCAACTCTGGGTGCAGGAAGGGAGTTCGAACAGCAGGGCGTGTGAAATGGAATGGGGTGGGGCTGCACAGGAGGGCAGGGGCCAGACCATCAGTGAAGCGCGGGAAGGGATCGTGGTCAGGAGTGTGGAAGGGATCCTGGTCAGGAGTGTGGGCTCAGGGCTGGAATCCTAACCCGCAGTGCGGCCTTGGGATGGTCACCTGCTCCCGCTGTGCCTCTGCATCCTTGGTGTCAGGTGGGGTGATGACGGTAGGGCCTGCCTCTCAGGTTGTGAACACTCAGGATGGCTCAATAGACCTGAACTGTTCTTGGCAGTCACCCTTGTAGGGATGAGGACCCCACAGGAGTTCTGAGCCCCGAATGTCCTTAGCTGGCTCTACCTCACACTGATTGGGGCCAGTGCCTCAGTTTCTTCATCTGTTTAGAAAAGCCAGTCCAGGCCAAAGGAAAAAACCTCATGTACCCCCAGGAGTCAGGCAGTAATATAAATGAGGGGGGCACGGGGAGAGGCTGCAGGGAGTGGCGATGACTGTGGCCCATTGGGGTGCCTGTACCCCCAATCCAGGGAACCCCGGCCTGTCAGCCCAGCATCTGTGGCCTTGCAGGAACATGAGCCTGGTGTGGTCTGAGGTGCCGATTTCTCCACAGAAGGAAATCCACATTTTTATGAGAAAACTTCCCACCAGTAACATCAGCAACACATTAAATATAGTTTTTAAAACATCACGTGAGCCCAAGCCGATGGTGCTGTTGGCAGATGCTGCCGTGATCAGGGAGGCGGTTTGCATTCTAGGTCCAGAGACCAAAGACTTCTCTAGCCCCATGTCTGCAGAGGGCCCCCCACCCCCAGCTTTTTCCTGCACAATGGAGCAGGCCTCTTCAAACAGACATTCTTGGGAGAGCCCCACCCCCGCCTGCGATGGGGCCCCTGCTCAACGCTATCTCACAGAAGGAGCCAGGGAGTCTGGGGGAGCCAGTGGCGCCTGAAGGGTCTGCTCTGTGTCTGGGAATGGCAGATTGGGGCCCGGGAAGGCTGCTGTCAGGGAGAGCCTGGCTCCCAGGGGTCAAAGGGCAGTACTTTTAGCCTCCTCTGGGACCAACTTCCTGTTTGGGAGAGAAAACAGAAAGACTCCTGGTAGGAAGTGGTCCTTTCCGGAAGCCCCTTTTCTGCAGGCTCTGGCTCGTGGGGAAAGACCCAAGAGGAGGGATCCCCAAATCCTGGTCTTTTCCTCTCCTTCCTTCTCCCTTGAAGTCAGGAGGGAATATGGGCCTGTCTCACCAGCATCCTTAGTTCATTGCCATGGGAAATACTCAGGACCTGTATTTATTAGCCCAGCTGGGCTACCCCCGCCTGTCTCTTCCTCCGCTCCGCCCCCCTGAGGGGGTCCTCACAATCAGAAAGTCATTGAGCACAGCTCCCTAGCCCTGCGGTGGGGAGCCACTTTATGGATTGAATTTATGGGTTGAAACAAACTGCTGTTTGTTGCCCAGACCCCTGCTCGAGCCCCGCCTCTCCTCGCACACCTCCGAATACAGAGAACTCACCACCTTCCACGTGCTGGGACAATTCTGGCAGGGCCCCCTTTCACAGAAAGCAGGGGGGTGCCAAGAATTCAACTAAAACATCTCATCAAGGACAGGTGCCTCGAAGGCCACCTCGACTTGCAAAGATTCAAAAATGCATCACCATGTTTTTAATAACCATTTCCATCAGATTCAATATAAATCTGCTGGTTATAAGGTTTAGAAATTAAATATCAAAAGTGAAATTTAAATTACCTGTACTTTCACTGCCTAGAAGCAGGGCTAGAAGAAAGATAAAAGGATTTATTGTCACTGTGTTCACACCTACCGCGAGGTCAGCTCCTACCAGGTACCTGAACTTCATCCTTGTGGCAGGACCCAGCTGGCAAATCCTTCCCCTTCAGGGCATACCTGCAAGCATCTCAATGATAACTAACCTCGGCTGCATTTCAGACGCGCTCCTTTAAGTCTCACGAAGGTTCTATGGGACAGCTAATTTATTGATGGAGAAACTGAGGCTGGGGCCGGGGTGACCTCCCCAAGGCTATACAGCCAAAAAGGGGCAGAGCAGAGACTGAGGTCTCCTCCCTTTCCGATTAGACGTACACACCATACCTCCTCCTTCCCACCCCAGAGGCCGGATTCCAGACCACGCAGTAGCCCAGACAGTCATGCATTCGTTCGTTCCTTCTTCCTCACATTCATCCATTAAGCCACTCGTTTCTGAGCTCTGGGTTGGCTCGTGCCAGAAGCTGGCTGGAGCTCGCTCTCACACCGTCCCATAGCTGCCACTCTCAGGACTCGACCCCGAAAGCCTCAATGCCGTTTATTACAAAAGACTGAGTTTATCACACCATACTATGAACAACCTCTGCCCGGTTCCTGAGCCCAGACTGGGGCCCTAGTAGTCCTCCCTTGACATCCCTTCTTCCCCTGCAGCAAGGGGCTCGGTGGGTGGGTGTTTCTGGACTGGGCCGTGAAGTGGTCCTGTGTTTATAAAATCAGATGGGTCCAGGGACCCCGGGTGTGTGTGTGCATATACAAAACATAGGCCGTAGCTCCCCTGCCTTGGGGTGTCGGGGGTGAGACCACTGATGCCGCCCTGGGAGAGAAGGAAGTGGTCCGTGGCAGGGAGCAGAGCCTGCGCCCAGAGCGAGCACGGGCACCCACATCCATTCAAGTGGCCACTCAGCCTGGAACCGGGGGGCCTGTGCCGCTGGCTGGCCTGCCCAGCCTGGGGGGTGCTCTAGGCCACCTGGATCTGCAGATCCTCGTCCTCATCCAGGTCACTGGCTCCATCCCCGGTCTCCTCCGTGCCAAAGCGAGCACTGCGGATCTTCCCGAAGAGGGGGGCATTCTGCTGCTGTCTGCGGAGCCTGTGGGGTGAGGGCACAGGAGGTCAGGATGGGGGTGCTGGCAGCAGTTAGGCACCTCATCTCACATCATCCTCCGAGAAGCCCCTGAAATGAGGGAGGTGCTCCTGTCACCCCCATTTTACAGATAAGGAGACCGAGGCACAGAGTCTTCTGGTAACCTGCCCAAGGCTCCGCAGGCAGCAGGGCATGGGCCGAGGTGCTGACTGCAGCAGCTGCCTTGCGGCCTCTCTGTGGGGATGCCAACCCCAGACCGGGCGAGAGTCTGGGGTGGGGCGTCTGAGTCTCCTCCACCCCCATGTTGGTGAGGAAGTGCTCCGCCCCAGTTCTTCCCTGCATGAAAATTCCTAAAGCCAAAATTTACGAGGCACACTTCTCCTGAGAAGGGCGGGTGGAGGAGAGGCCCATCCCCCAGGAGTGGTGCCCTGGCCGCATCTTACTGGAAGGCATGAATTATTAACACGGCCAGGGAGGGGCACAGGCGGGGGCTCCATTACTGTGCCGTGATTTAGTGAGCTCTCCCCGGAACATTAAAGCGCAAAAAGTTGGGAAATAAAATGAGCATCGGTCCTGGCGCGACCCGCTGCCCCCCCACCCCCACCCCAAGCACTTCTCAGCTACGCACTTCTTAGCTACAGAGTTGGTGGGTCCATTTTGGGAGTTGATGGCCCTGAAGAGAGTGCTCAGCGGCCTTTTGAGGGGTGTCTGCTGGGGCGGGGACCGGCGTGGGCAGAGCTGGCCAGAGACGGCCCTGACTTGGAAGTGTGCCTGGCCCCAAGCACCCTTTCCGGGCCTTGCTGGGGGAACTGAGTGTCGGGGGGCCCTATCACAGAGCTGTGAGGTCTGGCCCCAAGCCTGGATTAAGAGCACACAGCAACACATAGTAATTGCTCAGGAAATCAGGGCACCTATGGCAGGGAGCCATCTGATCTGGCCTCATTACTCCGCTGTGTGGCCAGGAAAGGCTTTATCCTTCTGCGCCTTAGTTTTCTCATCTGTCAGCCCTCCCCAGATTTTCTTCTCTCAAAGGAGTGTGGTCCCTGTAACATAGTATGGGGCTCAAATAGAAGCCCTTTCTCCCCGGGGCAGCAGCAAGAGCAGCAGCAGCTGCTGACAGTTACTCAGCACTTACCATGCCAGGTACTTTTATAAGCTTGTTTAATTGTCCCACCAAAGAGCAAGCATTGTTGTCCACAGAGAGGTCAACAAATGGCCCAAGACCACACAGCTGTAAGTGAAGAGCCAGGATGCCACCACGCAGGCAGCTGGTCAAGGGGTCCAGGCTCCACTCCAAGAAAGAAGAGGATGCCCAGGCCCAGGAAGAGCCAGCACGGTGGTGACGATGCGCCTGCCGTCAGGGCCAGAGCCTCGTATGGTCCGTGCCCTCTGACCCCGGAGCTCCCAGCTAGCCCGGGGTGACCACAGCCCAGGTGCCCTGGGGCACTGTTTTCTTTGTCAGTAACTCCCCATACCTCTTAGCCCTCCCCCACTCCCCAACTTGGGCCTGACCTCTTTGGCAGCCCTTCCTGCTCTCGGGCCACAATTCAGGCCTCCCAGCTGCTTTCACTTCCTGTGCTCCCCTTCCTTGGTTTCCTGGCCTTGGCCCTTCCTGCCCAGAGGGGACAGGATTCTGGCCCCAGGGCACCTGGATTTCGTCCTTATGTATCCTCTCCCGTACCCAACTTTGGGGTCCTCCCGCAGGAACTGCGACCCCTGCCCCCATCCCTGTACCCACTCCCTTTCCCGGGGCCCACCTGGACTGCAGATGCTCCAGCTGCACTTGCAGGTTCTCGCTCTGCTCTGTCTGCTCGTCCAGCGACCGCTGCAGCTTGCGTGCCTGGTTGTGGGCCTCATCCAGCTGGGGAGTGTGCAGGGCCAAGAGCACAGGGGTCACCCTGGGCTGGGCCAGCCTGGCCAGCCATCTCCCTGGGACCCGCCCCTCTAAGCCTCCCTGGGGAGCAGTCCCTGTCTCTCCTTTGAGGCCTAGACCAAGGCTCGCTTCATCCAGGGATGCATCCCTTCCGCTCCTTTCCATCCCTGCTGTTCCTCCGACGCCCCAAGATACTGACCCAACATCAAACCACATCCCGGAGGGTCTCTCCATCTGGCCTTTTGTCTATGGGGATATTCCTCTGCCCATGGAGAGGCCCACTCTCCAGCTCACCATCCGCTACTCTCTTCAGCCTCCCACGCATTGTCTGTCCATCTCGCAGACACACCCGCCTTCACATCTGTCATCCCTCTGTCCTTTCTCTCTGCCATTCATTCTCCATCCACTGATCCACAGTTCTCTCTCCATCTTTCTCATTCCCTCAGTCACCCATCTTCCCAAACACCTGTATATCCCCCCCACCCATGCACCGTTCACCATCTCCCAGGAGTCCCTCCCTCCGTTCATCTCTCCTTCACCCGAGCAAACATCCATCCACCCCCACACACACACTCATCCATTCCCTCCTTCATCTAGTCTCCCCTCAGGCACCCCGCTCGTTCTATCTTTACGTGTCCTCCCTCCTTCTCTCACCTACCTGCACCTATGCCCCCCCCAGCCATCACTTACTGGGTTACCTTCCGTCCTCCCGTGCAGACACCGCACATCCACCCACTCCCCCGTCCATTAACCTCCTCACCCCTCACCCACCTGTTGCCCATCCTCCCTCTCTAGCCTGGGCACCTCATGAGAGGGAGCACTGGGAAGATGGCATGGAGCTCATAGGCGTGCTTTGCAGGAGCACTCCTACCGCACCCCAGGGAGTGCTCACCTCATCCTCGGCCTGGGCCAGCTCCTTCTTGAGTTCCTCCACCCGCAGCCGCAGCTTCTTCACCTCTGCCTCGTGCTGCTCTACCCGCCGGTTGGCATGTGCCAGCTCTGCCACCTTCTCCTGGAACTGTTTCTTCAACTTGCCGTGCACGTGCTTCAGATCTGCTAGCTCCTGCAGGGGGCATAGGCGGGGAGGGCTCAGTTTGGAGGGCATGTGCTAGGGTGTCCACGTGGTCAGGCAGTTCTAGGGGTGCTGGCTCTTGCCTGTCCCTGCATCTCCCCGCCCACTGAAACAGCAACAGTGGAGATGTGAGCAGGGATGGCCAGAGGAGCCATCTGGTGAGGTGAGGAGGCTGCAACGAGGGGAGAAGACCGTGGATGGAGTCAGTGGCTCCGTTCTGGACGTGTAACTTTGGGGTGCCTGGTGACTATGTCCAGTGTGCCACCGAGCTAAGAGTCAGGATTTCTGGGCCAGGGGGTGAGGTCTGGAGACTTCAGTATGTGCGCAACACTTAAAGTCCCGGGTGTGGGGAGGGACTCAGCTGGGCATGGGTGTTAGGAGGTCGGGAGCTGGAGTGGCTGGCAAGATGCCCCCTCTGAGTTCTGCCATTTCTCTGAGCCTCAGTTTTCACACCTGCACTGACCTCCAGCCCTGTCATACAGTGGGTGCTTGATAAATGCAGCTACTGCAATGACCACCCGGCCCGGCCCACACGGCATGCCTCTGCCTTTACTTGTTACTTCAGGGGTCCCGGGTGCCCTGGGGGCTGAGCTGGTCAAGCAGCAGGTGGTTTGTCCTGGCTGGATGGGAAGGCAGGTCCACGCCAGCCCTGGCCACCCCGCTAAATGTCCCACCTTGTTCTTCTCGAAGAGCGCAGCCTGGCTGGCCCGCAGGTCGCAGTCCAGGGCGCTGGCTGTCTGCCGTCGCCGCCGGGCCAGCGCCTCCTCCAGGTCCCCGACCTGTGCCCGCAGCTTCTTGTTCTCCCGCTCCAGGCCCAGCTTCTCCGTTTCCAGCCGCTCACGGCGACCCCACTCGGCTGCGTTCTCTGCCTGCAGCCGCTCCATCTGCAACAGGGCAAGACAGGGTGAGGGCTCCACAGGCGGGGGCAGGAAGGGCCAGGGCTGGGTGCCCCCTTCCCCCATCCTGTGGCCATTTTTGGTTCCAGGAAGCAGGTCCAGCTGCGGCGGCTATAATTAACCTGGGCTTATTTCCCCCGCGCACGATGTGAGGGCGCTGCTGGCCTGTGTGTGGGAGGCCTTCCCCCTGCAGACTGGGGTACCCTCAGGCACAGTCCTGGTTCTTCCTGAGTCCTCCCCAGTGACTGGCTAATGGAGGCAGGGCCCCTGGCTCCCCAAACCCCAGGTACCGCAGGGGGCCTCACCTCACCCCTCAGCTCAGCCATCTTCCTGTCCATGCTGGATCGTGCCCCCAGCTCGTCCTCCAGGTCTTCAGACATGCGGCCCAGCTCATCCTGATGGGCCTCCTTCAGGATGCTGAGCTGCAGGATACAATCCACTATGGTCACATGGGACCACTCGATAGATCCCAGAGCCAGCTCCAGGGCACGGGTACTGGCTCAGGAGCACTCAGCAAGCAGTCTGTGTATAGTAGCTGCATTTATTGAGCACCGACTGTAGGCCTCTGGATATCCAAGCCAACCCTGAAGCTAACTACTTCTGCCACTCACAACATCACTCACCTACTTTATTACTGCCTAGCCCCCCAGTGACTGCTCTCGGTCCCCCGTCAGCCTATTTTCTACAGCATCTTGGTCCCCCGTCAACCTATTTTCTACAGCAGCCCAGAGGGAGCTTTGTAAAAAGATAAATTCACGGTCCTCCCTGGTGGCACAAGGGTGTTAAGATGCAGCACCATGAAGCTATCTGTAGCCACTGCAACATGAGTTGGATCCCTGGCCAGGGAGGTGACCCACATGGCACAGCAGACCTCTCCTGTCTCACTGCTGCTCCCCTCAGCAGTGTATTTCAGTAGATCCGCCTGTTCTGCTTCCCACTCTGTCTCTCGTGAATCCTCTCACGCCCCACACCTCTGGCCTGTACCCCAGTTCTTGTATGTATAAATAAAATCTTTAAAAAAAAGATAAATTCAATCATATCCCCATCCTCAAGTTCCTTAGGGTAAAGGCCAACCCTTTCTATGGTTTTACAGGCCCAGTATGATTGGACGCGGCCCACCTCTCAACCTACCCTCCCACATCGCTCCCCTCTGTTCACTATGCCCCAGGGGCTGTGCCTTCCTTTCTATTCCCCAGCACACTGCATTCCTTATTATTTTTTTTAAAAGATTTATTTATTCATACAAGTTCTGGGTACAGTCAGAAGTGCAGGAGGGTGAGAGCATTCACCAGAGCCAGAGCAGGGAATGGAACAGGCAGACGGAAGAAATACACTGCTGAGGGGAGCAGCGGGCCCAGCAGGAGATCTGCGCACCATGTGGGACCCTCCCCTGCGGCCGGGATCAAACCCGTGCTGCAAAGGCTGCGGGCAGCTTTGCAGCCCAGCGCTCAACTGCTGCTCCACCAGGGGCGGCCCCACACCACATTCTTGCCCATCCCAGGGCCCTTGCACGGGTGACTCCTTCTGCTTGACACACACTATTTTGCCAGACTGACCTTTCTCCCATGTCTTGGCCTAAATGTCCCCTCCCTACTTAAAAGAAGGTGCCTCCTGTCTCTTCCCCATGCCTTTTTTTCCTTTAGATTTATTTATGTATGCGAGAGCTGGGGTACAGGCCAGAGGTGCGGGGGAGGGGGATGAGAGGATTCACCAGAGCAGGAGGACTGACTGAAATCCACTCCTGAGGGGAGCAGCGGGCGAGTCAGGAGAGGTCTGCTGCGCCACATGGGTCACCTCCTTGGCCAGCCGGAGATGGAACTCGTGCAGCGGAGGCTGTGGAGAGCTTCACAGTGCTGTGCTTAACCCCTTGCGCCACCAGGGAGGCCCTCTGTGTGCCTTTATCCCTGTATGACCGTGACACGGGGGCGCCCTCAGTGTACGCGGGCAGAACACACGCAGTGGATCTGAATTTGGGCCTGCGTCAGAATGAGCCCAGGGCACATTTAAGATAAGGCAGATTCCCTGTTGGACAGCGGGACAGCCCCAAAACTATGCTCCATGCGACGACGCCCTGAGCCTTAAATACATAGCGCGGAGGGGAGGCAGGCAGACACAAGGGAATCCTCATCTTTATGTGTTCATCGGCAGCACGTTCCTGTGTTACTCACTTTTCTTCAAATAGTTATGCAATTGGAAAAGATTAAGATGACAGATTTCTGGGTCCAACCCCAAAGACTCTGATTCAGGAGGGTGAGTGGGGTCTGAGAATCTCAGATTCAACCGTAAGAGGAGTCCCTTCCAGGGCAGCTTCCAGCTGTCTGTGATCCTCCTAGGGGCTGGCAACACAGCCTGGATTTTTTTGGGTGGTGGCGCCCCCTGGTGGCCCTAGACTGGAGGCGCCAGACCTCAGCCTGCCCTGAGTCCCCCCCATTAGGGTGGTGGGATCCTATCTGGAGCCTCAATTTTTTCTCATTTGTAAGATGGGGAATCAGCCTCCTTAGCTGCCATGAGGTTTTAAGTACCGCAGGGGGCCTCATGTGCGTCTGAGGAACACAAAGGAGGTCACCATCCCTGGAGCATAGTGAACAAAGGGGAGCAAGGTGGGAGGGGAGGTGAAGGGATGGGCTGAGTATGGAGGAACCCAGGCCTATAGCACCCAAAGCGACAATGAGTCTCTCCTCTGTTCTGATCTGCAGGGCCCTGCGATATTAAGGTCCTCTTATGACCTCATCTGCCACTCACTATCCTCCAATCACACTGGCGTCTCTTCCACCACACTCTAGGTCTGTTCTGGCCAAAGGACCTGTGCATTTGCTGTGATTGCTGCCAGGCACTCTGCCCCCACCTCTCCCAAGGATGGCTTCTTCTAATCACCTTAGGTTTTACTTCCGACGCCACCTTCTGGGAGAGACCTCTCCTGACCCACCATCCCATCTCTTGCTCTGTTTTGACTCCTTCATAGCTTATAAATTTATCCGCCTGGTTACTGTTGGCCTCCCCCTCGCCCCCAGAGCTGGTGTTTGGCAATGAATTGAAATTCAACAAGCCAATGCTGCTTCCTCCAGGAAGCCATCCTTGGTTCCCAAGACTCACTTGCTTGAGCATCTCCTGCTTAGTCTTGCTCAGTTCTTCGTACTTGATCTTCCACTGGCTGAGCTCTCCCTCCAGCTTCTCAATGTTCCTGCTCAGTGCCAGCTTGTCCCTGGGGAGAAGAGGGGGGACACACATGGTGATGACTCAATCAGAACCCTCCACTCAGAGTTCTTGTATAGTCTGCCTATCTCAAATCCTTTGCCTCGGCATTCAAGGCTCTGACACTGCACTGTGTGACAGACATAGTGGAAGTGCACCCCCCACACATACACAACTGCAGTGCCCAGCTCTCAGTGTAGGGGAGTGATCAGGTCCTCAAAGCACTGGTCTTCCTCAGGCAAGTGCCTCCCTCTCTCCAGGTCTTGGGCTCATCTGCCAAATGTGACCCCAGGTCTTGGTTGATGGATGGTGGGTCCCTGTCAGGCCTGGTCTGAACACAGGGTTCTGCGGACAGCAGAGCTGGAACACACTGCCCAGCAGCTCCTGGAGGAGAAGCCCTCAGTGTGCTGGGTGGGATGCCCATGTTCTGCCTGGAACATGAAGGTGGCGCCGTGGGTAATAGGCATGGTGCCTGGCCCTGGCACACATTAGGTGCTCAACTAATGGCCTGCTTATCACTATACCGCAGCCTGCTTATCACTATGCCCTGGCACCTTGCTGCTCTCTCTTCCTGAGTCTCACTTTTCACGCCTCTAACCCGGGGATTCCCGGAGGAGACAGCGTCACCTTCTAGGAGCCTGCTAGAAATCCACAGGGGTGTTCTGATGATCAGGATGACTGAGGGGGTCACTGAGTGGGCGGGGACCACTAAATGCAACTCTCAGGACATCCTATCCTGTGGGAATGATCCCCTTGGAATCCTGGGGGTGAAAGCGATCCGAGCCCAGGAGCCCCATCTGACTTGTACTAACGGAGCTTTCCAAGAACATCATCACTGTATAAATGGAGGGAAAATCACATTTGGCTTTGCTCGGAACTTCCCACGTGTGTCTGAGTTGCCAGCCCCCACACACCTACACCGGCAGCTTTCCTCGCTGTCCTGGGAGGGACGGGGCCGGGAGACACAAAGCGTCAGCACAGCCCCGGCCTCGGGGTCCATGCTGTGTGGGTATTTGCAGCAATGGCTCTCCTGACTGCCCCGCGTGGCTCTGCTCGTGGGGCCGTGTTCGGCAGGCGCTTCCACATCACAGTTCTGACTTCCTTTCCTTTCTGCTTGCTAGGTGAGTGAGTACATTAGCGTTGCTTTTGTGTGTGCTGGTTTAGTTTAAACAGAAATGTACCGTCTCCCAGCGCTGGAGGCACCGGGGTGGGCAGGGCTGGTGTCTCCGGAGGGCTGGGAGGGTGACCCGTCCCGAGCTCTCCCCTAGCTTCCGGCGGTCTGCGGGCAACCTGTGGTGCTTCTTGGCTTCTTGAAGCGTCACCCTGACCTCTGCCTTCATCTGCCCAAAGGCGTTATGCTGGCTTGAAAAGGACATTATGTGTGTAGAGAGGCTCTGCGATCTCTGCACTTCATTTCTGGCTCGAGAAGGGGGTGCCATGAATATTCATTGTACTGAGGCTTGCCTGGCAACCTCCCTGTTCCCAGTGCTCAGTCCTCGTCTCACCTGCCCCACGGAGGAAGTTTCTCCTGGTTTCCCTGTCTTTTCACCGGCTGCTTTGCCTCTTTGCTGCTTCTCTCTTCTTTGAACCAGCCTGTAAACGTGGGGGGCTGCAGAGCCCCATCCTGACCTCCCTCTCTCCTCTCACTGGGCTCGCGGGCTTCAATATCATCTATTTACTGATGACTCGCATTTTCACCTCCAGCCCCCAAATGTCTCTGGGCTCCCGCCTCGTTCAGGTATCCGGCTGCCTCCTGCCACCTCACACTCAACGCGCCTGGAACCGACAACCCAGCTGCCCCCTTTTAACCTCCCCTGCCTTAACCTTTGCCCATGCGCTCTCCCGCATCAGCACGTAAGCTCCAGGAAGGCAGGGGTTTTGTCTTCTTCGCATCTGGACCCTCACTGCGGAGCACAGTGCCTGACCCAGAGCAGATGCCTATGGTCTGGATTAAAGCAACACAACGGTGACAGCAACAAACTTGCACTGGGTACCTGGGTCGAGCGCGCTGAAGTTCTGAGACTTGAGCCCAACGGTACCGTTCACCTTCAGCGAGTCTTACATACCACGACCTGGAATTTCACTCTGGTTCTGGGGGTGCCCTGGGTGGCCCGGCTGCCACCCCGCCCCACACCCCTGCCCCCGGCACTCACTCTCGCTCCTTGAGCAGCACCTTCTGGGACTCATCCAGCCGCAGCCGCAGGGCGGTCAACTTGGAGGCATCTTCTTCGGTGGCCACCGCGTCCTCCCAGGGCAGCCGGCTGCGTTCCTGGCGGCCAGTGCTGCCCCGGGGTCCCCCGGCCCCTACGCTGCGTGCCTCCCAGCAGCCCTCGGGCTCCTCTGGTCTGCTCTTCAGCAGATTCTCCACCAGCTCTAGTTCCTGTGGGGACCAAGGTGGAGGCTGGACCATGGCTGCCGAGCCAGCCTGGCCTTCCTCATGACCTCACCAGGCCCACAGCTTGCGGGTCACCCTGGGCGAGGTGCATGGCCCTTTTGAGTCACCACTTCCCCTTCTGTTGCCTGCCTCGCCACCCTCGGAGCGGGAGAGACACCTTCCCCTGCACCTCCTGGAGCTGCACAGTCAGCCAGCGAGGTTTCCTGTACCCCAGGATAGGTGTAAGCTCGGTGTCACCAGCAGTATGCAGTCACACAGTGGGGGACTGCTGTAAGCAACTGTTGAAGCAGGGATTCCTACGCTCTGGATCCTACAAAATGGATAAGGACAATATTCTTTCAAAAGGAATTGCAGTTCTAAGATCCCACTGTTCAGGTGCAAACACTAAGGCGCAGGGGAGGGGACATGGAAAAAGATGTGCCTAAGAGCACGATGTCACCTGTGAGTAGAATCAGCTCCCAGACAGGAGGCCATGGATGCTGAGCCCCTTCCCCCCGCCAGCCTCTTCTTGCCCCTGCCTGCCCCAGGCCTTCTCTGACCACAAATCTGAGGCACCTATGGCCTCTCTTCCAGCCTGACAGCTCCCACCAGCCTTTCCACATGAGTCTGAGTCAGTTTCTTCCCTCCCTGGTCCTCAGTTTCCTTATCTGCACGCAGAGCAGGTCCAAGGACTCCCTGAGGAATGAGATTCTCTCCCCCTGTATCTCAGACTACCTGGGTGGGGACCCTGGAAGCCACCTGGCCCAAAGCCCCGCACCTGGGGAAATGGGGGGCATGTCCTGGGACACAGAGCACAGAAGTGACTGGAGTAAGCTCCAGCTGCAACCCCAGGGCTCCAGCCACCATACCTGGCAGCAGGACAGAATGAGCAGATTCAGCTCTGCTACTAATGGATGCCTTGCAGGCAAGCCTTTAGTTCCTGCTCCTGCTCAAAGGGACCTTCCCTGGTTCTGTGGCACCTCGGGTGTGAAGTAAACCGAGTGCCAGAACCTGGGACTGTCCCCTGTGAGGGGATCGGAAGGGAGGTGACCCGGGGCCCGGCCCAGCAGAGCCTGGGGTGAGCGAAACCTCCCAAGGACGAGGCCCTTAGAATCCCCTTTAAGCCCCGCAGCCACCACTTTGGCACAGGCCAGTCAGCACCTCCCACCTCTCCACCCAACAGCTAGGTCCTGCCAGAAGCCCCAAGCACCCAGCTCCACCGCACACCTGGCTGCCCTGGGGTCTCTCCGACCCGACGTCGCGCACCGGCTCGTGCTCCCTCTCGGGTTCGGTCTCGGGACCCTCCGTCCTGTCCGCGGCCTCCCGGGCGCCCCGTAGCCGCGCCAGTTCTCGGCCCCGGGCCTCGCACTCGCCTTGCGCCTCCTGGCGCTCGCGCCGCGCGCCCGCCAGCTCCTTGGTGAGCGCGTCCAGGCGCTGGCGCAGCTGGCGCACCTCCTCGCGCGCGCGGTTGCGCTCGGCGCGCACCTTGCTCCACTTCTCCCGCCAGTTGGCCGTGCAGTCCGACCACCAGCGCATGGTCTTCTCCATCTGCGCGGCCCGCGCCCGCGCCTCCTCCAGCTCCCGAAGCCGCAGCTCCTCGCGGCTCTCCCAGTCCCCGTCCGCCAGCAGCGCGGGCGTCGGGGGCAGCGGCAGGGCGGGCGGCGGCCCGGGGGAGGGCGTGCCGCTGGACGGCGTGGGCGGCAGGGAGTCGGCGGGCCCCATGCGCTCGGGCGACGGGCTGCCCAGGATGGTCAGGAGGCTGCCCTTGGACAGCTGTGGGGACTCGGCCAGCCGGGGGCTCGCCCCGTGGCTCATGGTGCCGTCTTGATGGAGGGCCCGGCCTAGAACTTGAGGCCAGACTTAGGGGCGGGGGGACAGAGGCGAAGTGGAAGCGACCCTAGGGCGCATGATGACACCCGCTGTCCACTGTTTTCTTGGGCACCGGCTGGGGGATGCCTCCTTGGACCTGTGGGAGAACACAGCCGTGTTATTAGGCCCTGGCCACTGTCCATGCGTAGCCATAGGATGGGACCAGCAGAGGAAACAGGATGGAAAAAGGCAGGGGGCGAGCAAACAGCCTGCTGGCAGTGAGGCTGCAAGAGCCTGCAACGGCTGCCTCGCTGGCCTGACTTCCCCGCAGCAGTCTCTGCACCCTGCAGCAGTGGCAGCTGATTTTCGACCTGGACCTGCAGGTCCCACCTCACACACTACTACTTCCCCTCCCCCAGTTGCCAGGAGTCCCCTCCCTGCCTCTTGCCTCACTGGACTCTTCTCATCCTTAAACTGTACCTGAAAAATCACCTCCTCCTAGGTGTCCTCCAGGATCACCTTAAGCCAAGTGGGCAGCCCCTGCTGGTCTCCATTCTTACACCAGCCACCCTCCCGCTACCATTTCTCATTGTTCCTGTCTGTTCCTTATTTTTGCCCCAGGCTGCTTCACCCTAGAAGGCAGGGGCTGGCTCCTGGCCACCTTTTTAATCCCAGTACATGACATAATGACAGTGACTTTTGGGAAGGGCCAACTGCAGGCCAGGTGCTGTGCACAGGGCCTTATGTGAAATCTTGTTCATTCCCCTCGACAGGTGCCAAGGAGAGGATCACCATTCACCGAAGAGGACAGGGAGGCTCAGCAAGGTTACGCCTGGGGTGGAACCAGGTAGAGTATCCAGGAGCCTAAAGGCAAACCTGTGAGGGCTTGGTGAACCCACAAGTGTGCTGGGTCTGACGGAGATAAACCGTCTATAGAGGGTGGGCGTGGAGTGCGCTGCCCCCACACTGACTGCTGGGCTCTGTTTCTGGGCCACATCCCCTTTAAAATAAGTGAGACACATGCCCCTCCCTGGCTTCCAACGGCTTCACTTTCCCTCCATTGTGGCTCATGCTGACTGCACCAGCAGCCGCTCAGGACATTCGGCTGAGCCTGTATCTGTTCCCTTAAAGCCCTGCCCTGAGAGCCATCCCCCCTTTCTGAAAGGCCAACTGGGGGGACTCTCAACACCACTGAAGAGTGCCTCAACACTGACTGCTCCCAACACTGCCTCAGTGTCCCCTCTCCACCCTCTACTGTCCCTCCCCAGCCCGGGCAGGTGGTCTGATGTTATAGCTGCAGTGAAGAGGGAAGCCACAGACTGACAGACTGACCCTCCCCGTCCTGCCCTGGCCCTATGGCCCGCCTCTCTGCCCCTGAGGACAGAGGCCTTCTCCCTCTTGGGGTCAAAAGTCCCCCACTCCTGCTTCTCCCACTCCTGCCTGTGATGCCTGCTCCAGGGGCCAAGTGCCCTTGCTGTGACGCTCTCTCCACCTGTGCAATGAGGTGGACATCTAGGCATATCCAGACACACCTGTAGACACACAAGCAACCCCACAGGCATAAATACAGCTACAGAAACACGGGTGGACACACGCATGCTTGGATCTGGACCATATACACATTCACTTGTACACACAGAGCCTCTACTGTGGACCCTGAGTCACAGACACACCCGCAGACACAGGCACCCCCACACAGAGACAGAGAATCGGAGACATGCAAAGACACAAACATCCCTGAGACAAGCACACCCCCCCCCCGCCCCACACACAAACATGCATACACACACTCCTCTCCCCATTTTCCTGGCCCAGCTCCACATGGAGAAGCTCTTGGAAAAGAAAAACAATGTGAGAGCCTGAGGGTTAGGGGAGGAGGCAGGAAATCCCAGTGCTACCCACAGCCCCTGCTCCCCAACAAGAGCTGTGCTGGGAATAAGGAGTGTGAAGGGTCCCAGGGCCTAGCCCCTGTTTGTTGGACCCTTCCTGTAGGCCCTAAGCTGAGAGGTCAGCAGGAAGGGGGCCACTGCCACATCCTTTCTGCCCCTGTTTGCTGCCAGGCCTGGCATGGGGCTCAGCAGGGAGGGTGCTCCTTCCAGGAATCCCAAGCCGTTCATCAGGGGCAGGGCCGGTGCCACCCAGGCCCCTAATGGCTTCCAGGCACCCATGCTCATGGCATGGGTGGCCTCCTGTTCCTCTTCAGCCTGGCCTGCCCCCACCCTTGGGGGCTGAGGGAGGAGGAAGGGGAGGTAGTAGGGAGAGAGGGGCTCTGAACAGCCCTGCAGCCATTTCTCCTGCAGATCCAGGGCTCCCTGGAGGGGGGAAGGGGTGGTGGTCCCACGGTTTTCTGGAAAAGCCCACCCCCAGCACACCAGGAAATCCTGTCCACCCACCTAAGCGCAACGGCTGCCAGACCCTGCCTGGAAACGTCTCCCCTCCCTTCACCCCACTCACATTACACAGCCTTGGGGACCCACACTTACACACAAGCCCCAGTAACAGCCCACGGCCCACACTCACCGCAAGTCAGAGGTAGCAGAAGCTCAGCTCGCTGGGCTTGCCGTCATAGAAATAGGCTCCAGCTATCCTGCCCTGCCCGGGGCCTCTTCCCATGGAGGTTGTGTATGTGTGTGTGGGGTGGCCTCCTGATTCTCCCAAGGAGTCACCACCCCAAAGGAGCAGGTTAGGGAGGGACCAGCCACTGCTAGCCTCAAGGAACCTTCCTCACCCAGGTCTCCCTTCCTCTGCTTCCCACCAGCCAGACAGCAGGGTCTATTCCCACTTAACACTCAGGGTTTCTGCTCAGATTATGTCCCCCGACTTGGAATGCCCCCCCTCCCAGACACAGAAACCCATCCTTCAGCTCTGTTCTACCACCTCCAGGAAATGCTTTGATCTTCCCAGCCCCACCCCCTGCAGCAGGGGTAGGGGAGTGGGGAGGAAGCACAGTCAAGACAGTGCTTGACTTTCAGAGCCGGATCTGACCAACTGCCCTCTCCTTGCAGCAGGTTCCCCAGACCCAGATGGGACACTTGTGCCACCAGGGCCTGCATACATTTGCTTAAAGATGATTGGTGGAGTGGAGAGCAGAAGACTAAAGGATGGCCTTGCATCGCTTTAGTTGAAAGCAGGGCTGAGTGGGATGCAGCTCAATGAACCCCACTCTAGGGCAGATACAAGAATGTTTTGACCTGATGCTCAGGCTAGGCTCAGATTATGGTCCTCAGATTATGGTCATCAGGTCCACAGAAAGTGACTAGTGGATCCTGATACTTGCAGATCTGTCTGGAATGTCTCCTTTTTCTATCAGCAAACTCCTACACATCCTTCAAGACCCACCTTCAATTTCCTGTCCTCTGGGAGGCCTTCTCTGACCTCAATGCACAGAGTATGTTAATGTGCACAAAGCCCTGGTTCCTCCCTGTTCTTTTTTTTTTTTTTTAAAGATTTATTTATACAAGAAGCGGGGTACAGACCAGATGTGTGGGAGGGTGAGAGGATTCATCAGAGACAGAGCGGGGAACAGAACAGGCAGACTGACAAAATACACTGCTGAGGGGAGCAGCGGGCGCAACAGGAGAGGTCTGCCTCGCCATGTGGGACCCTCACTGGCAGGCCCGGATGGAACCGGCGCTGCAGAGGCTGTGGACAGCTTCACAGCACTGCGCTCAACCGCCTGTGCCACCAGGGGAGGCCCCCTCCCTGTTCTTTAACAATGACCATGCTGTGAAGTCTTTGAGGGCATTGTGGTCTCACTGGCTGTCAGCACAGGGCCCAACATACAGCAGATGCTGCATAAATGCTTCCCAGATTAACAGGCTATTAGGGGTCCGCTTGTGAGCAGGGAGGGCTGAGTCAGCCAAGGATCAGGAGTCAGTGTGCAGCCAGGCTCTGAGACAGAGAGGTATTTGAGCCTGTCTGTCTGTGGCCAAGGTCAGAGGAGAGGTCCTTTCACACCCAGACCCTAGGAAAGTGCAGTTCCCAGGTCAGGCCTCTTACCTGAGAAAGCCTAGCTGACCCACAGCAGGAAGATTTTGTATTTTGTCCTTAGCATGTTTAGATGAGTTGCTCGAGAAGCAAGAGGAGTGAGCAACGCTAAGGCCTGGATGGGGGCCAGTTGAGGGGACCAGCGGGGGTGCCTTGTGGCCCAAATCCTCCGTCCAGCTTAAACCCACCCTGTCGTCCCTGAATCTTTCAGGTGGGGCTCTGGGGCTGGCCTGTGGCTAAAGGCCTGGCTGTGGGTAGGGAGCAGAGCCCGGCAGGAAACCACAGAGGCCAGCCTGATTGAATAAGTACAGGGTCCAAGGATGGTCAGCCCGCAAGCTGTGGGCACCTGTCCCTCTGACCTGCTGCCTGGGCTGTAGCCACTGCACCTCCAGGAGAGATCTGGGAGGGAGGGTGGAAGGCAGGCTGAGCCTTCCTGCTGGACCTGAGCCCAGGGGTATGCACCCCGCGGCCTGTTCCCAGGTGCCCCCATCTCAGATCTAGCAACCATAAAGATATCTTAGGTCTCTGATAATTCCTTTCTTAGCAAATGTGTCCACTGAGGTCGGAGGAGTAGCTACTTGTCCATATGTATGTGGAGGACCTGTGGGGGGTGGGGAGGGGGGGGCTGGAATTTGATGCTTTCCTCTTGGGTGATGACTTCCTGAGTGGTAACTACATGGTGGGGTCCTTAGGCATCAGGCCAGGTGCACACACATAGCTGGTATGGAGGGTGTAAGCCCTCATCAGGGCTCCCCCCAGCCCCGAGCTGCTCAGCAACTCCTTGAACTATTCGCCCTTGTACAGTAGACGTCCCACTACCCACTAGTCCCAGCTCGGCCTCTGACATGCTGTGTGAGAGCTGCAAGCCCCGGGCCTTTCTGGGCCTGTTGACTCACCTGTGTGATGCACCGGGAGGCAACTCACAAGATTTCTAAAAGCTCTGTCCAACTCCTGGTCAGACCGTGCGCCAACCCGAACCAACCCAATCCCACCACAGCCCTGTTCAAGCCACACTTGTGAAGCTGGAGCCCCTGGTGGGAAAGCGGCTGGCGAGGTGTCATCCAGCTAAACCCAAGGACCCCGCACTCCAAACCCATCAACTCCAAAAAAACATCACAGCCGCGTGAGGACGGTGACACAACGGCGGCGCGCTCTGGAGGCTTCGCCCCACCTGTCCGGGTTCCTTCTAGAAATTCACTTTCTAGAGGCCAGAGTCGCTTCGGTCCTTACTTCCTCACCCCCCTTCCTTAGCCGCCCGGGTCCCGCGAGCCTCCAGGCTCCTCCTAGCAGCCGGCGGCGGGAGGAGGGGGGATCCCCAAGTGCGGAGTGGTCCCGCCCCCCCCAGCGGGCGGCCCCCATTGGCAGCCACCGCAGGCCGGGTGCTCCGATTGGCTCGCGCCCCCCGTCCATCCCGCGCTCGCCATGGTGACCACGTTGGGTCCCCCGGGAGAGTTCCAAGGCCGCCCCCGCCCGCCCGCCCGCCCGCCGCCCCCCGCCCCCTCCCGCCGGCCCGGCCCGCAGCATTCCGGAGGCGGCCCGGCCCTCCCCGCGAGCCCGGCCTCCCCGCCACACCCGGGGCCGGGCCCTAGACGTGGGGGGCCGGGGGAGGGGGCTAGGAAGTTCTGCGGGTTTGGGGGTTGGGGCGGATGCGGGAACCCCCGCTGCTCCCCTCGCCTCCAGCACGCCCCCAACTTCACTGCTTCCCTCCCGCGGAAAGCGCGCGGCCTGGGGGGTTCCCGGGGCGCGATGGCTCTCTGGCCCCGCGCTGCCGTCCCCGCTCACCTCGGCCGGGGCCGCGCGCTCCGGACGTCCGACCCGCTTCGACTGGGCGGAGCGGGCACGGGGCTGGCTGCGGCCGCCGCCGGGAGGGCCGGGGGAGGGCCGCGGAGTCTCCTCCTCCCTCCCGAGGGGAGGGGAGGGGAGGGGGGAGAGGAGACGGGCGGGGTGTCGGGGGTCCCCCGCCGGTTGCGGCCCCGCGGTGACTCCGGGCCTCCGCGCGGCGGCGGTGGGGGCAGCAGCCCAGCCCGGACGGAGGGCGCGCGCCGGCCTGGCGGGCTTTGCCGGAGAGCTGGCCGGACCCGACGGAGGCTCCACCCCCCGCGCGGGGCCCGGGGTGGGGGGACCGGAGGCAGAGTCTGGGGGCCCCTCAGCTTTCCTGTCCTGGGTTTCCTAGGCGCCAAACGCGCACCAGAGGCCGGGCAGCAGAAGTGGGCACTGCCCGCTTCAGGCCTGGCACGTGTGCGCGCTTACTAAGGGCTCACTTCTGTTACCTGCCTTCTGCCTAGTGCCAGCCCTGCAACCCAGTGGATGTGGATTAGCAAATCCAGCCCCTCACTGGGTCTCAGTTTCCCCTTTGCGTGATAAAAGTGTTGGTCAGATTAACCTCAGGCGTGTTGAACCTCTTGACCCGTCTGGTTTTGAGATCTTCTCTGATGTTCGATGGTGCTTCCTACAGCAGGGCTGGGGCCCATAGTCCAGCCCAGCGGGCAATTATGGTAAAGCACCTGTCTGTGCACCCTAGCGCCTTAGCGTGCACACAAGCGTGCACCCAGCAGCCTTTGGGCCTTCTCCCTTGGGAGGAGGGTGTCTGCGGTTTGGGCTAGAGAGGAGGGCTTGGTGCCTGGAAGGCCTCTGGTCACCACATCCTCCTGCGCCCTGGATGGTTGACGCAGATGAATTTGTCTACAAAAGAGGACCAAGCATTGACAGGAATAGGAACCCTGCCTCACCAGGGCCTTAATTCCAAGAAGAAACTAGAAATAAAGCTAAGTTAGTTTCAACACATGATTTACAATATTTCGATTAAGTTTGCAACCATGCATATGTTCGAATGCAGCAAGAATCAACTTGTTATGGGAAGAGGGTCATTTTTGCCAAAATATTTGGGGGTGTCACACCTAAGGGTTTCGGAGTCCTTTGACAGTCAAAGAATTGCCTGGAATTATCTTCCTCTTATAGGTGTTCTCTTCCTCCCTGGGCAGCTGCTGCTCTATTTGTAGGTCACCCCTCCATCAACTTCATGAAGTCTCACACTTCTTTGTAAGACAGGCAGTTTCACTGGTTAGTTCATTTGTGTGGTTAAACAAACCTCGGATGGTTTCAGACAGCTGGAGACAAATTTTGGTGGGGCCATGTGGTGTTTGAGAGAGAACTGGTTTGTAGATGTTGCAGTGCTTGGCCTTAACTCGCTGTGCTTCTGGGACTGTGGCGTTCAGCTTTTCAGTACTCAGAGGACCAGGTGCCCATTTTCAAACTTGGGAAACGCTCGGGAAGGCTTCTGGCTGAGACTTACCCACAGTCCCATAGCCAGTAAGCACAGGCGTGGGCCAGCGTTCTTTCCCAGAGTTTCTGGAGATGGGGACAGGGGTGGAGAAGGTGGAGGAGGCTGAGTTGATAGAGACCCTAAGTGTCCATGACAACATCCTCACAGCTGACAACACCTCTCTCAAGAAAGGAAGCAAAAGTACTGTCCTAGGGCTGTCTCTTGGGGTTTGGGGGTTAGAAGGAGTTGGACAGCGGGATGCCCCTACCCTGTGACTAGGTGTTGTTATCTCTTAATGAGAAAAGTGAGGGCCTCCCTGGTGGTGCAAGGGGTTGAGATGCAACCTATGAAACTATCCACAGCCACTGCAGCACGAGTTCGATCCCCAGCCAGGGAGCTACCCACATGGTGCAGCAGACCTTTCCTTTCTCACCCGCTGCTCCCCTCAGCAGTGTATTTCAGTAGATCCACCTGTTCTGCTCCCCACTCTGTCTCTGGTGAAGCCTCTCACCCCCCACACCTCTGGCCTATACCCCAGTTCTTGTATGCATAAATAAATGTGAGGATCAGAAAAGTGAGGATCAGAAGTTAAGTGACAGCTGAGGGTCAGACAGTACCCCCACACTCCTGCTCCCAAAGCCACACCTCTAAGCAGGCTTCAGTCCCTTGGTGGCCCCCAGTGGCCCCCCAAGGGGCTTCTCTCTCCAACTCAGCACAGTGGGGTTTTTGGCAGAGGCCTGTGTTCCCACCCTCCAGTGTTCTCTGTCCTCTGCCTCTGCCACCAACTTTTGCCAGCAGCTCATAGCACCTTTTCCTTTAACTCATTTCACTGTTTAGGATGGTGTGTGTTTTAGTAAGTAAATAGGAAATCTCAGTTGCCCTAAGTAGAAGAAAATCATAAAAGAAATCTGTAAATAAGATGTCATTAAAATCCAGCTCACACTGTTCTCTGTAAAAAAGGGACATAATTTGTACATCCATGTTCACAGCAGGGTGATTCACAGCAGCTGAAAGGTGGAGGCAACTAAGTATCTGACAGTTGATGGATGGAGAAACAAAATGTGGTCTATACATTGGGGGAATATTACTCAGCTTTAAAAAAGGACTGAAATTCTGACACCCGAGATAGCAATGAATTAACCCTAAAGACATTATACTTAGTGAAAGAAGCCAGTCAGGAAAGGACACATTGTGTATGTTTCCCCTTGAAGGAGGCTTCTAGAATATAGTAGTGAATTTCATAAAGACAGAAAGGATAATGGCGGTGATTAAGGACTCGAGAGAAAGGGGGAGGGGCAACTAGTGTTTAATGGGGACCATTTCAGTGGGGCCCATGGACAAATTCCGAGCTGCATGGGGTGATGTGATGGAGTGGTATGAAGGTGCTTAATACTATGGAGCTATATGCTTTAGAATGATTGAAATGGTCAATTTTATTAGGTATTTTTGCCACAATTAAAAAAAGATACAGGGCCTCCCCAGTGGCGCAGCGGTTGAGCGCTGGGTTGCGAAGCTGCCCGCGGCCTCTGTGGCGCCGGTTCGATCCCCGGCTGCTCCCCGGCCACCGGAGGAGGGTCCCACATGGCGCGCAGACCTCTCCTGCCGCCCGCTGCTCCCCTCAGCAGTGTACTTCATCCGTCTGTCTGCCTGCTCTGCTCCCCACTCTGGCTCTGGTGAATTCTCTCACCCTCCCGCGCTTCTGACTGTACCCGGTGCATGTATAAACAAAACAAACAAACAAACAAATAAATAAATAAGTAAAAACATGCGTCTATATAAAAAAAAATTGTAAACATCAGTGAAAAAATAAAATTTGAGACCCACCGAGGAAAAATATTGCAAGGAAACTTTAAAAAAAAAAAAAAGATACAAAACAGGGTTGGAGACTAGGGGGAAGAAAGACTTAAACCATTGTTAGAGAGAAGTTAGAGACAATTTAACTATAAACTAAGGCTTCTCCTGGATGCCGTCAGGATTGAGAAAGATTGGAAAGTAAATGACTTTTTCGTGTGGCTCAGCCAACGTGCCATCTGGCATCCCTCTTAGATCCCTTGGAGGCCATCCGGGCCTTGGAGGTCCCACACAGGGGTGGCGTGTGGCTCTCCAGGAGCCGGGAGTGGGAGATGATTTGCCTCCCCCCACCACCTGCCTGGGGACTGAATAATGCCTCCTAAAATTTAAGCATCCGGGATATTTAGCAGGGAAGCTTCTCTGAGGAGGTGAGACTTGAGCAGAACCCCAAGCTTGGAGATTCCCTGCTGTGCTGCCCAGGAGTGTGTGTGTCACAGCTGACATGGGCAGGGAGATGGCATGAATGTGACATGCACGCCTAGAACAGGGTAGAAGCGGAAGTTGATGGGGCTAGACCATGAAGGCAAGAGGGAATCCTTGCTGGCTTCTGAGCCAGGGAGGGTCTTGACAGGTCCAAGAACTGGAGCGCGGGGTTAAATAACCAGTGACCCCCCACCCTCACCCCAAGCAGGCACAGTGAGGCTGGCACAGACCCAGGATGGAAAAGGGAGGAGCTTCAGGGAGAGTCAGGCCTCCTCCTGGGCTCTGAGAGCTGGAGGGAGGCTGTGTGATCCTAGGCAGTGTGATCTAGCCTTTTCCTCAGGTCCTTGCCATCGCCACGCTCATTGACTGTCAGACCAGGCAGGAGTCTTTCTTCCGTTTTCTACAGATGGGGAAAGTGAAGCTGAGAGGCCACATATGCCCAGGGGTGCCAGGCTGAGTTGTTTTTTTTTTTTTAAGATTTATTTACTTATGCATGTAAGAACTGGGGTGAAAGCCAGAGGCTAGGTGTGGGGGGAGGGAGAGGATTCACCAGAGACAGAGTGGGGAACAGAACAGGCAGATGGACTGAAATACACTGCTGAGGCGAGCAGCGGGAGAGACAGGAGAGGTCTGCGTGCCATGTGGGTAGCTCCCTGGCCGGGGATCAAACTCATGCTTCAGAGGCTGAGGATAGCTCCATAGTGCTGCATCTTAACCTCTTGCGCCACCAGGGAGGCCCCATTCTAATGTCTTGAAGGTGGCAGGGCACCATGCAGCCAGTGCTCCTCCCTTTCCACACTGATGCGCAGCATCCTGGCAAAGGTGCTCCCCCCTACACCCCTCAAGAAGTGCTATAGGTCCTGTGGGTGGAGAGCAAGGGGTGAGATAGGCGGGGCTATTTGCTCAGAGGAAGCAAAAAAGCTGGTGTTGGTGAAAGAAGAAGTGAAATGGGCCTGAGATGACGGGTGTGTGGTGAGGGAGCAAAGAGAAGAAGTGCAGTGGGCTCTGGGTCAGCGGAGGAACGAGGCCACACCTAGGTCCCTACTAACCCTTCTTCCTGCAGGTGACATCAGAGTAGACAGCACAGGGCCAGCGGCGCTTCTCAGGTCAGTCCTTCCTCTCTCTTCCCACTGCTTTCTGTCCTGGCGCGAGCTCCCCAGCAGACCCCAGACCTGTCCCTGCCCAAGGGGGAGCAGGACTGGTGACATCCGGGGAGCAAGGTGGACACCCACCTTCCCTTCACCCGTTCCTGGCTCTCCGGTGGCAACTCCAAGTCTCAATGAATGTAGAGATCTATGTTTCTGAAAAGAGGCAATTTATATTAAGCAGGAGTTAGGCGCTGGGTTCAAATCTTGGCTCTGCCATGCGGTCTGGGGCAAGTTATTGGACTTTTCTGGGCCTCAGTTTCCTCATCTGTTAAGTGAGACTAGTCTGGTACCTGCTCCTCAGCTGACAGGGGTGAGGGCCTGGCAGGTGCTCAGAACAGGGTCTGGCATAGCGTTTGTGCAGGTGTCACTCCCCTGCGGGGGACAGCGTGTCTCAGGGCGGTGACTCTGGTGCTGCTTTCATCGTGGGCTTTCTGGGAACCTGTTCCCTGACCTTTGAAATGGGGCCAGTACCAGCACCTCTGTGGCTTTCCCCAGAAGATCACAGGTTCACTTTCCCCCCAGCCAGGATGAGGCTCTGCCCTGCAGTTGGCAGGTACAGCTGTTTGGAAGGGGCAGGAGGGGCTGGCTTGGCTGTAGGGGGAGATGGTGGGTTTGGGGGGTTCACTGTGAGCTCTGGGAAGGAAGGTTCCCAAGCCGCATGTTCACCTGTGTCCTTGGAGTGGGAGGCAGGGGGACGTAGATGGTGGAAATGGTTGTGAGTTTCTCTCCCTGGATATAGGTCTCCTCGGCCTCATTTTGCAGCTGAGAGAAGCTGCAGCACAGAGAGGTCAAGTTCAGTGCCGGGCACTGGATCCTGGAAGCGCTGCCCACACTTACCTCTCCCAGAGGCTCTGTTCTGTGTGTCATCTGCCTCTGTCTCTGCCGGGTCTTCCTCGTCCACACAGGAACTCAGCCACTGTCATTTTGGGAGGTTGTGCTCAGCACGGGAGAGCACTTGACTCGGAGTCTGGAGCCCGCAGCTTGAGTCCTAGCGTAACCACCACCTGCTCTTGTGTGTGTTCCTTTCACAGTTGCTGGAACCGTCTTGGAAGTCAGGTAAGGGATTCCCGCTTCCCGGAGGGCCCCGTATAACAAAGTGCAGGATGGGGAAAGAGAAAGCTAAGGGTGTCCAGTAAGGGTGTGTGGGGACCTCTCTGAGGGTGGGGGGAGCGATGTTGGATGTCAGAAGCAGAAGTTTAGATTGGAGTTTGCTCCTGGGAAAGAGGGTGGAAGCCACAGCTTCTATTTGGGGTGCTTGGGGGAGGTATCACTTCTGCTTTGGCCTTGGTTTCCATAGCTGGGCGTGGATTCAGCTCCTCTGCCTTTTGTGTAAGCCTAGGATTTGAGGTCGCTGTCTGGGCCTCATTTTCCTCATTCATACAGTGAGAGGGTAGTCAAGATGGTCCAGGATCTTTTTTTTTTTTTTAAAGATTTATTTATTTATTTATTTATTTATTTATTTATTTATTTATTTATTTATACAAGCACTGGGTACAGTCAGAAGCGCGGGAGGGTGAGAGAACTCACCAGAGCCAGAGCAGGGAGCAGAGCAGGCAGAAGGACCGAGGTACACTGCTGAGGGGAGCAGCGGGCGGCAGGAGAGGTCTGCGCACCATGCGGGACCCTCCTCCGGTGGCCGGGGAGCAGCCGGGGATCGAACCAGTGCTGCAGAGGCTGCGAGCAGCTTGGCAACCCAGCGCTCAACCGCTGCGCCACCGGGGAGGCACTGGTCCAGGATCTTTCTGCACAATCAAGCCCTCATTTTTTTCTCATCTGAAAAATTTAAATGAGTTCGTTTAGCAGCTTCCTTTGTCTCCCCAGCCCTTTTCCTTCATCTCTTTGCTGAGGTTCTGAGATGGTGAGGTTCTGAGATGTTACCTGGTGCCCAACGTAACACAGTCAAATAAATAATCAAATAACCCAGTAGCTAAATAAGTAAGAAGCCAGCACTCCATGATTCCAGTCTCTATTTTTTTTTTAAAAGATTTATTTATTTATGCATGCAAAAACTGGGGTACAGGACAGAGGTGTGGGGATGAAAGGATTCAGCAGAGACAGAGTGGGGAACAGAACAGGCAGACTGACTGAAATACACTGCTGTGGGGAGCAGCGGGCAAAATAGGAGAGGTCTGCTTCGCCATGTGGGTTGCCCCCTGGCCGGCCGGGGATCAAACTCGTTCTACAGTGGCTGTGGATCACTTCATAGTGCTGTGCTTAACCCCATGCGCCATCAGGGAGACCCTCCAGTCTCTATTTTTAAAAGTATTTGTTAGATTTATTTTTTACATTTATTTTTGGTAAACACATGTTAATAGTGTTAAGACAGTGGAAGACACTGAATCCGCATCTCACAACGTATTCCAGGGACTAGTCAAAATGAAAATGTCCTAGAAGAGGGGGCCTCCCTGGTGGCGCAGGGTAAAGCCTTAGCACTATCAAGCTGTCTGCAGCCATGTAACCTCGGTTCAATCCCTGGCCAGGGAGGTGACCCACATGGCTCAGCAGACCTCTCCTGTCTTGCCCACTGCTCCCCTCAGCAGTGTATTTCAGTAGATCTGCCTGTTCCGCTCCCCACTCTGTGTCTGGTAAATCCTCTGAACCCCACACCTCTGGCATACACCCCAGTTCTTCTATGCATAAATAAATAAAAATAAATCTTAAAGAAAAAACAAAAAAGGTCTAGAAGAGATTTAGGAGAATTCCTTTATAATGGAGTGGGGCAGGCCTTTCTAGCTACAACTCAAAATCCAGAAGCCAAAAGAGAAATGATTACTAATTTTTATTACATAAGAACCATGTATTTATAAAGAGACTTCTACCTGCCGGAGACCACAGGTCATGTTCAAAGGCAAATGACAAACTAGGAAAAATATTTGGTGCTGGTGTGATAGACAAAGAGCTACTTTTCCTATTATGGAAAAAAGATCCTCAAAGGTGATAAGGAAAAGCCTGACCCAAGATAATGGGCAGTTGGTGAACTTGTCCATGTGGGCGATGATACAAGTTCAGCTGCCTGGCTGGCACGTTTGTTTATGTTTGTATGAAGAAGCTGGGGAAGAGACATTGATGACAATGGTCACCTGGGGCGACTAGTTGGGGCTAAGCGGTTGGTTTCACAGGAAGTGGGGATATTTTGCATTCTGTACCTTTTAGCATTCATCTATTGTTTAGATTTGAAAGATGTAAATTTCTGAACTATCCAAAGAGTGAATAAAAATTTGAAAATGGGTCACTGTAATGTAGGCCACACAGAGCAGCGAAGCAGAGACCTAGAACCCCAGCCCCACCAGTCACTGCTGCACACTCCTTCCTAGTTTTCAGTATTTCCTTTTTTTCCATTTTTTCTTACATCATTGTTCATTTTTGAAAATATTTGATTTCTCCCTTTAGGTGTAATCCCTATAAATCTCCTATCACCACCTCCCCCGTGCACCATCACCACAGTCTCTTGTGCTCTTCCCTCCCCTGCTGTATGCCTCACATCTATAATGTTCCTGATAGTTTTGCCTTTTTTTTCCTATGACCCTTTGTTCGGTTTCCCTGTATTCCTTCTATAAGTGAAACTATCTGATATTTTTTTTTTCCCTTCTGGCTTATTTCACTGAGCGTAATCCCTTCTAGCTCCATCCATGTTGCCACAAATGGCATGAGTTTATCTTTTTTGATTGCTGAATAGTATTCCATTGTGTATATAGACCACATCTTCTTGATCCAGTCATCTGTTTTGGGCATTTTGGTTATTTCCATATCTTAGCTATTGTGAAGAGTGCGACAATAAACATAGGGGTACAGTTTTCCTTTTTTAAAAAAAATATGATTATTTATGCATACAAGAGCTGGGGTACAGGCAAGAAGTGTGGCAGGGGGGTGAGAGAATTCACCAGAGACAGAGTGGGGAACAGAACAGGCAGATTGACCAAAGTACGCTGCTGAGGGGAGCAGCGGGCAAGACAGGGGAGGTCTGCTGCTCCAGGTGGGTAGCTCCCTGGCTGGGGCTCGAGCTCATGTTGCAGAGGCTGCGGCTAGCTTCGTAGGTTGCGTCTTAACCCCTTGCACCACCAGGGAGACCCCAGTTTTCCTTTTGAATGAATGTTTTTGTGTCCTTAGGGTAGAGTCCGAGGAGTGAAATTGTTGGGTCATATGGTAGCTTCATTTTTAGTAGTTTAAGCTTTCCATTGTGGTTGGTCGAGTTTGCATTCCCACCAGTGGTGTAAAAGGTTCTTCTTGCCCCCCACATTCTCAACCAGCCTTTGTTGTTGCCAGTTTTTTTTTTAATATGGGCCATTCTCACCAGAGTGAGATATTATCTTATTGTGATTTTGATTTGAATTTCCCCAATTATAAATGAGTTTTCAATATTTCTTTATGATTAGCAATAATATCATATTCTTCTATGTATATATCTATGGCTTGCTCTGTTCATTCCATAGGATACATTCATACATGAGTTCCCTGGGGGAGAGGATATTCAGAATGAAAAGTTTATGTCTCACCAAACGATCTCCTTGGTAAGGTTGGACTCTATGTCCCTGCGGGGAGTGGCACCATGTGCTTGTGTCTTGTTGGGACGATCACATTTCAGAAAATTCAGTGGTAGAAAAACTAAAGTTCGGACCTCCCCTGGTAGTGCAGGCGGTTGAGCGCCATGCTGTGAAGCTGTCCGCAGCCTCTGCAGTGCCGGTGAGGCAGACCTCTCCTGTCTCACCCACTGCTCCCCTCAGCAGTGTATTTCGTCAGTCTGCCTGTTCTGTTCCCCACTCTGTCTCTGGTGAATCCTCTCACCCTCCCACGCATCTGGCCTGTACCCCGGTTCTTGTATTAAAATAAGTGGATAAATCTTTAAAAAAAAAAAAAGAAAAGAAAAACTAAAGTTCACCTTTTTAACCGCTTCCTTCTGACGGCACCATCAAATAGATATTTTGAATTTTGTGGTTCTTCCTTTTTTGCAATTTTGTGAGTATTCTTTGTGACTTTCTCCCCCATGAGGGGAGGGAGCTTAGCTCCCCTCCCCTTTGCATTTCCTCTTCTCAGTCCTCTCTGTATGGTTTCGGTTTGATTTGCTAAAGTCTTGAGTTACAGAGGATTACTTTATATAAAATGAAACTCATCTTTTTGAGAGTAGTTTGATGCATTTTGACAAAGGCGTACGATCACGTTGCTATGTGTATTACACTTGAGATATAGAAAGCTTCTACATCCTTAATAGTTGCAGGATGTCTTTCTGTAGTCAATACCTCTCTCTCACCATGGCCACTATCAATCTGTTTTCTAACCCTATAGTTTCGACTTTTCTCATTGGTCATATAAGTTGACTCATAAAATACATAGTCCTTTTTGTCTAACTTCTTTCATCGAACATAATAATTTTGAGATTCATTCATGGGCTACCAATTCCAGGTGTTCACCTTTTTTATTGCTGAATAGTATTCCACCACTAATCTTTCACCATTTGATAGAAATTTGTATTGTCCTGAGTTTTTGGCTGCTGTGACTCAAGCTAATATGAACATTTGCAAATAGGTCTTTGTGTGGGCAGGTGTTTTCATCTTTCTTGGTAAATACCTAGAGGTCAAGTGGATGCTTGTATGGTAAATCTATCTTTAATTTTTTTTAAAGATTTATGTATTTATTTATACAAGAACCGGGATACAGGCCAGATGCGCGGGAGGGTGAGAAGATTCGCCAGAGACAGAGTGGGGAACAGAACAGGCAGACTGACGAAGTACACTGCTGAGGGGAGCAGCAGGTGAGACAAGAGAGGTCTGCCACGCCATGTGGGACCCTCTCTGGCTGGCCGGGATCGAACCAGCGCTGCAGAGGCTGTGGACAGCTTCACAGCGCTGCGCTCAACTGCCTGCACCATCAGGGGAGGCCCTATCTTCAATTTTAAAAGAAACTGCCAAACTTTCAAAGAAGCGGTCCCATTTTTCAGTACCATTATATGGGAGTTCCAGATTTTCTGTATCTTGAACAACACTTGGTACTACCAGTCATTTTGATTTTAGCTGTTCTAGAAGGTATGTAGTAAGATCTCATTCTGGCTCTTATTTGTGTTCCCCTAATGACTAATTATTGAGTATCTTTCACATGCTTATTTGCTTTCTGTGAATCTTCTTTGATCCAAATCTTTACCCATTTTTAGTGGATTGTTTTCTTCTTGTTTAATTGTAAGAATTCTTAATACAGTCCAGATATAAGTTTTTCTTTAAAATCACATGTTTGTTTGCAAATATTTTCTCCCAGTCTGTGACTAGTATTCTCATTCTCTTAATAGTGACCCTCAAAACCCAGAAATTTAATTCTTTTTTTTAAAAGATTTTTATGTATTTGTTTTTGCATAGAAGAACTGGGGTGTAGGCCAAAGGTGCAGTGGGTGAGAGGATTCACCAGAGACAGAGTGGGGAGCAGAGGAGGTAGATTTACTGAAATACACTGCTAAGGGGAGCAGCGGGTGAGACAGGAGAGGTCTGCTGCCCCATATGTGGGTCAGCTCCCTGATCGGGATCGAACTCAAGCCACAAGGGTAATAACACTGAGACATAACCCCTAGGCCACCAGGGAGGGCCATGAGAAGGTTTTTAAACTAAAAATCAATTCCTTTCATATAGAACTATTCATATTACTTATTACTTGAGTAAGCTTTGATGGTTTGTGCCTTTCAAAGAATTTTGCCATTTCATCTAATTTATATAGTTTATCAGCATAGATTGTTAATATTCCCCCTTACCTTTTTGATGTCATAGGTTCTTTGGTGACATTCCCTCTTTTATTGCTAATATTGATAATTGTGTCTGCTTCTTTTTCTGGATTATTCTAGCTAGAGGTCTATCAATTTTATTAATCTTTTCCAATAACTGGCTTTTGGCTTCATTGATTTTCCTCAGTTTTGCTAGTTTTTATTTCATTGACTTAAGCTCATCTCAGTATTTTCCCCTTCTGCTCACTTTGTGCTTAATTTACTGTCCTTTTAATTTTTTTATTCCATTCTTTTCTTTTCTTTTTTAAAGATTTATTTATTTATGCATACAAGAACTGGGGTACCGACCAGAGATGTGGGGGCAAGAGGATTCACCAGAGACAGAGCGGGGAACAGAACAGGCAGATCGGCCGAAGTACAGTGCAGAGGGGAGCAGCTGGCGAGATAGGAGAGGTCTGCTGCGCTATGTGGGTAGCTCCCTGCCTGGGGATCAAACTTGTGCTGCAGTGGCTGCAGATAGCTTCATAGTGCTATGTCTTAACCCCTTGTGCCACCAGGGAGGCCCATATTCCATTATTTTTCTATTCTCTTTCTTTCAAGGAGGAAAGTGAGAGCAGAGAAGCATAGATTTTTGCCTAAGGTCACACAGGGGATTAGCAACAGGTCTGGACAGGGTTCCAAGTTGCCTGCCCCCAAGCACCTTCCCTAGGTGGGGTGAAGGCCCTGGGGAAGCCCCCAGAGAAACCATTTTCTGGGAGAGGCGCACCTCAGGCAGAGATGATCAGGGTGGTGATACTATGGTCACCAATTTTATTAATCTTTTCAACTAAATAATCTTTTCAAATAAAATGGTTAAGGACTCTGTCTGCAGCCATAGACACCTGGCTCAGGGCAGCCTCAAGAGAGCAGAACCCTCTGCTCTAAGCCTAGGCTCCTCAACTGTGAAGTACAGGAGTGGGATCAAATAAGATGGTGATAATCGTGTGCCCCTTCTCCAGGCCAGGAGCCATTTTCTGGAGGAGACGGGGTGCAGGAATGGACCACAGTGGGGCCCTTCTTCTCTGCCTGTGCCTCATGGTGTCTCAGAGCAGGATGGAGGGTAAGAGGGCTCTGCTGAAGTGGGGGTCCTGGCCCCTGGCTACTATGTGGAAGGTAGAGGCCTGAAACTAAGAGAGATGGAAAAGGGGGTGCTTGGGTCTCCTGGGGCAGCACCAAGGGAGTTAGTGATGGGGGGTCCCAGAGGTGGTGGGGTGGGGGTGGCTTGGCAAACAGAGGCTGAGGTGGAGTCTGACTGCATTCCCTGCAGAGGCATCCCAAGATCCCCTGCAGTGGATGTACGGAATGGAGCGGGCACCCAGGAAGCCAAACCACAAACCTCGTTTTGATGAGTGAGTTGGGTATCCCTCGTCACCTCCCAGAGTCAGCTGTGCCACTCGCCCCCAGCTTACACCCTGAATCAGTGGCCCACGGTTAAGTCCAGGGTAGGTTACCAACCCTTCATCTATTCCACACACTTGCTGAGTTGCTGGAGATGCCCTCACAGTTTACTAGAGCAGGGCCCTTCACCATGGGTGCCATGAAACTAGGTGCAGAATCGTGGCGCTCTGTGTTTTTCCAAGAAGGGCCTTGAAGACTTGGATTGGGTTCTCCAGGGTCTGTGACCCAAAGGCTGAGCACCTTTGGTGAGAGGTCAATGCTGATATCTGGCTAGGAAAGCATAGGGATAGTGAGGGCACTTTACGCAGCCAGCAGGAAACAGTCAAGGAAGGCTTCTCGGAGGGGGTGTCAGTAAATCAGAATCTGAACAAGAGTTAATAGAAGAAGGGGTTGGGTGGGGTGGGTAGGTTTGTGTACAAAGGCCCAGAGGTTGGAGTAACGTGGGTGTGGAATGGGAACAGCATCTAGAGGCCCTTTTATCCCTACTCCCGCTGGCGGCTCTGGCCCACTCTCTTGCCCTCAGGTTCATCCGTGGTCTGGAGAGCAGACTGCTGAATTTCAACCTCAGTGCCCCCGAACTCTGCTTCAAGTCAAACTATATCCATAGCCTGACCTTCAACCTGAACTGTTCATTTCCCGGCCTTTCTCTGAGCAGCGCCACTGTGGAGGAGGCCCCCCAGGTCAGAGGTGGCAGGGGGTGGGGAGAGGGGTTTCTTCCCTCCAACAAACCCTCTAGGACTTTCCCCAGGTTTCATGGGCCGCCCCATAATCCATCTAGACTCCACCTATGCTGCTTGTGAGTAGCCTGCTCTGAAAGGCAGCTGACATGCCTCAAGGGAATAACAAAAGTGGGGACTTTCTGGACCCTAATGGCAGGTCCTTTTCTTGCTTTTGCGGGACCCTGAGGGGAGGCAACAGTGGGAGAGGCCAGAAGTTCAATTTCTGCTAACTGTTGGGGCACTGGGGGTGAATTGCTACACCCTCAGGGGCCCCTGGTGGGCTGGAGCAGCCTGGGATCTCGGGGAGTTTGGAGGAGGTACAGTCTTGGAGGAGAGGGTTTTGCAGGTGGAGATGCCTAGGGAGGAAATGCTCTGGGGTGAGGCTCTGTAGGTTTCACAGGGATTGGGGCAGTGATGGTTTGGGGCGGCTCTGGAGGCCCAGACATCAGGCCCAGCTGACCGTGGCTCTTTCCCTGCCGGGGCCCAGCATGCCACGCAGTTCCCTGCTGAGCTGACCCATGGCGCCTGCAAGAAACGGAGCAGGCATCTGCGTCTCATCTGCATCCACTTCTTGAAAACCAATTTCTTCCAGGTTAGTGCCAGGATGGGCCAAGTGGGGACTGGTGCTGGCCCCTTTCTGGGGACACTGCTGGCATCTCTGCTGCCACCAAGTTCCTGGGCAGGACCAGCCCAACCCAGTGTGAAACCAGAGCCAGCCTCTGCCCTGTCTCAGTTTTAGCAGAATGAGGGGAGCACAGTCACGTGTGCAAATGACACCTACTACGACCCTATCCCCAGTGGGAGACAGACACAAAGGCCCCAAGATCAGCGGCGTTCAGGCTTAATTTTAGCTCAAGGTTGATGATAACCTTAGAGATACGACGCCGTGGATGGGTCAGCTTGGGGGCAGGGCTATTCCCAATCTAGGAGGGCTTTTGGAGGAGATGTCTTTTAACTTTGGCTTTGAAAGTGAGTTAGGATTGTTGGGGGGGGGCGGGGGCTATGAGGCTGGAAGGCATTCAACACAGGGAGATAAAGCAGGTGGGTGGGGATCGCATTCCAGGAGAGGGGACGGTGTGCGCACAGCCATCACTGTGCCCAGCTGGCCCTCGAGAGCACACTGCTGTTCTCATCCAGGCAAGAGGCGCTGGGGAAGGGAACTCTCAGGCCTCACTCACGTCCCCTCCACTCAGCTCTTCTGCTGTTCTTCCAGAGTGACAGCAACTTGTCTCTGCTCAATAACTATGTCTTCGGTGCCCAGCTGGGACAGGAACACGTGGAAAACCTCAGCGAGCCGATCAACATCAGCTTCTGGCACAATCATAGTCTGGTACCTTTGGGGGCACCCCTGTTTCCATCCCACCTTTGCTCCTTTGTGGCTATTCTGTTGAGCTTTGGTTTAACCAAACCTGAACCTGTGGAACCATCTCTGGAGCAAACTGTTTTAAACTCACCACACTTTGAAAATTCCTGCCAAGGAAATAAGAGAGAGACATTTATTCACCTCATTATCTGGAATTCTTTGAGTGGCAAATGACAGAAAACCAACGGAAGCAGCTAAAACACAGAAGGGAGTTTAGTGACTTTTGTAAATGAAATGTGCAGATGCAGCATCAGGTATGGCTGGATCCAGGGGATGATATGGTATTATTATGACTCAGTCTCTTTCCAGCTCAGCAATGGTTTCCGGCCTAAGTCTCCACTGTGGTAAGATGGCAGCTAAAGTGCTGGACTTCTTTCCAGCAGGCATCAGTGCAAAGCTGGGTCCCAGAGTGGAGTTCTAAATGTCCAGCTGGGTCATGTGTCTATTCCTGAGCCATCACTGTGCTCGGACACAGAGTATGTAGACCAGCTAGGCCTGGGTCACCTGGGCCACAGACTGGACTGGATTCAGCTGACCTGCCATTGGGGAAGGGACAAGTTCTCAAGGAAAGAAGGGAGAAGGGCTATTTGGTGGGGGGGCACAAGCCCTGATGCCTCTACCCATCTGTCCCTGGCATTCCAGAGCCACTGTGCTCTGGCCCCATCTTCCTGTCAGCCTCTGCATTCCAGGACAGCTCTGGATTCCCAGTCTTTCCAGCCTCTCCTTTCATTCCTCTGGGCCTTGACTCCTGCAGTTCCCTCCCCCATTTGGTGCCCCTGCTCCATGTCTGTTGAAATCCAATGTGACTTCATTGCCCTCGTGCCTTGATCGTCCCTTCCCTCCCCAGGACTCCTCTGGCGCTTCCATTGTTATTTTCCTTGGCGCTGTCTGTGTCATTTCCCCCACCCCTTCGCCCACATGGCTTGATATCAGGGTGGTCTGTGGCTGAGTATTCTCTCCCTACTGGGGTGGGTATGGACCCCTGTTCCACCCTCACGAGGAGGCGGGTGGAGGGGACAGTGGATTATGGAGCCCTGTGTATAAGCTAGGGCTGGGAAGGCAAGGTTCTCATTGCTTTTAATTTTTCCTCCATCCCTTGTAACTTGGGAATAAAGGATTCCATTTGGCAGGTGGATAAACTAAGGCTCAGAGAAGTTCTGCAACTTTCCCAGTTCACTTTCAGAGTCCAAGGTGGCAGTAGGGCTGGGATCTGGGTCTGTGTGATGCCAAAGCCTAGCAAGTGCCTGAGAAATGTGGACAAGGGTGTAGTTAAGTCATCTGTGACGACCTCAACCCCAGTTTCCAGACTCTGTCCTGCATGCCCTCCCCTGAATCTCTTAGATGACTCAACTCCAGTGTCTCCCCTTTAGAAAGACTATATGCCGACTTGTGTCTTCTGGAAGGAGGTAGCTAATCAGCACTACTGGGGCGTCTGGAGCTCTGAGGGCTGTCGCACAGAGCAGCCCTCCTCTTCCCAAGTGCTCTGCCGCTGCAACCACCTCAGCTACTTTGCTGTTCTCATGGTGCGTATACAGCCAGCCTGGGTGAGGTGTTTCAAAACTGCAGAGGGCCCATGTCCAGAACAAAGGCAAAGTCTGATGCGAGGGACAGAAAGCCCAATTCAAATGGGCGTAAGAAAGAAAAGAAATGAAACCTAGGGATTTGTGTTCCTGAAAAGGTTGGGTAAGCTTCAGGTGTGGCTTGATCCAGGGGCTCAATGGCACCAAAACAATTGACTGAGTTGTGCTTGCTTTGTGCTAGCAGGATCTCCCCATGGGATAATAATGTGGTTGCCAGCAGGTCTAGGTTTATGTCCCACTAGCTTTTAGGCCAGTAGAATGAGAGTTTTACTTACCCAAATCTGTCACCCAAAGTCTTGGAATTGAGTCCCACCACAGTAAACTGTGTCACCTACTCATCCGTTAACCAGTTAGTGTGGGCAGGAGGAGGGGGGACTCTCATAGGTCAGGCTTGGTGCACCTGTCCTTACAGGGGGAGAAGTGGTAGGCCCCCTATGTGCACAGAGAGTGAGGGAAGGGGGTCCTCATAGAGGGAGGGAGAGGGAATTGGGAGTGGGAATATGTCTGCCCTGACTCTTTTTCCAAGCCAAGATCAGAGATAGGACTGGGGGGCTGGAGGGCTTGGAGCTGAGGTCTTATAGGTCTGTCCAGCTTAGCTGGGGAAGGCACATCCATGCTTCTGGCCTCCAGCTCCCACAGCAACTCTCCCCGATCCCTGAAAAGTTGCTGTACACTCTCACGTCCATCACCATTGTGGGCTGCAGTATCTCCATCGTGGCCTCGCTGCTCACCATTGCACTGCACCTCCACATCAGGTACCCCCAGCCCCGGGCAGGCCCTGCCCTCCCCCTGTGGCTCAGCACCCTTCCTTCTCCCCACTTGGTTCCTCTGCGTGGGGTGGGCTTCTTCAAAGGCTGGAGGCTGGAAGGCAGGAGACCAGCTTCACTCTGCAGCTGCTGTTAAGTCTCTGCCCCCTCATTGACCTCAGCATCCCTGTTATTTGTGTGTCGATGAGCTTGGGGGTGGCACAACCTGGGTGATGGCCCCAGGCCACCGAGGACCATGCTGCCACCCGCAGGAAGCAGTATGACCCCACAAGGCATATCCACATGAACCTGGTCGCCTCCGTGCTGCTCCTGAACGTTGCCTTCCTGCTGAGTCCCGTGCTGGCCGGGCCATCTGTGCCCAGGCCAGTGTGCACGGCTCTGGCTGCCATCCTGCACTGGGCGCTGCTCAGCTGCTTCACCTGGATGGCCATTGAAGGCCTCAACCTCTACATTCTCCTTGGGCGCGTCTATAACACCTACTTCCGCCGATATGTACTCAAGCTCTGCGTGGTGGGCTGGGGTAAGCATAGCTCCCTCCCTTCTTACCTCCTGACGCTTCCAGCCAACAGGGTGTCCGCCCCTCCTGTCCTTCTCTCTCTGTCTTCCTCTTCCTCACAGTGACTGCTGTCAAGAGCACAAGTGTCAAGAGCACTGGGTTATCCCTGGCAACACCACTGCTTACATCACTCTTCCCACTGCTGCTACCTGCAACACCTCCATCATCACCCCTTCTTCTTTTTTTTTTTTTAAAGATTTATTTATTTATGCATACAAGAGCTGGGGTACAGGCCAGAGATATGGGGGGTGGTGAGAGGATTCACCAGACAGAGTGGGGAGCAGAACAGGCAGACTGACTGAAATCCACTGCTGAGGGGAGCAGCGGGCGAGTCAGGAGAGGTCTGCTGCGCCATGTGGGTAGCTCCCTGCCCCGGCCAGGGATTGAACTTGTGCTGCAGAGCCCGAGGATTGCTTCACAGTGTGGTGCTTAACCCCTTGCGCCACCAGGGAGGCCCCCATCACCCCTTCTAATACCAACTTCACTTTCACCATATCACTGCCACCCCCCACACGGCCGTCATGTCCACTATGCTTCCTGCCAACTTCATCACCACCTTCACCAGCTCCACTCCGTCACCACCTCACCTCTGTCACCACCGTCACAGCCACCACCCCTTCTGCTACACTCCCAGCACCTTCTCAGCATCACCGCCGTCCTCTTCCTCGCCTTCGCCACCATCAATGGCACTTCTGGCACCATTCAACCCCTTTCTTTACCATCTCACTTCCCCAACTCTTTGTCCCATTAGCTCCCAGCCACCACCTCCCAGTGTGGCCCCTGCTGCCGCTACTCTCCCACCCACGCCACCTTGGAGAGCAGCTTCTCCAGGACCGCTGGGCTGGTTGCTCTGAAGCTGGGCGAGCTCCGAATAGTCTTTTTCACACCCTCTACTCTCCTGCCTTTCTGTTAAGAAGGCTGAAGGACTGATGATATGACCCAGATGTGGGTCAGATAGGACCCATCTCTGAGGTGTTCCACCAGATGCTGAGCCTCTGTCCCCCCTTCAGGGGTTCCTGCCTTCCTTGTACTGCTCGTCCTCGCCATCAATTCCTCAGTGTATGGACTCCACGAGATCCACGTCTCTGACAGCCAGGGAAACAACACAGGCTTCCAGAACCAGTCCATGTGAGTGTCCACAGGGCTGCGGTGGGCTCTAGCTTTGGCATAAGGGCCACAAGGGGCTCTGGATAGGGTGTCTACAGGACATGGCATGGACATATCTGACCCATCTGGGGGGCAGAGAGAAGGGAGGGTTTAGACAGGGGGTGGTTTCCAGGGGGCTTTGCCACACACTTTCTGCTGGATCTCTAAGTTCTCTAGCAGGGGCAGGCTGGCGTTTGAGGCCAGCTGCCCTTGGCCTGGGGAGCCACACCGCACCTGGCATGTGACCCTCCCCTGCAGGTGCTGGATGGATAACGTCACAGTGCACACTGTCCTGGTCAAGGGCTATGGCGGCCTTACATGCCTTTTCAACCTGGTGGTGCTGATCTGGGCGCAGCGGCTCCTGTGCAGGCTGCGGGCAGAGAAGAATGTGCTTGGCATCCGGGCCTGCCAGCACATGGTCTCTGTGCTGGGCCTCACTGTGCTGCTGGGCACCACCTGGGTATTGGGCTTCTTCTCCTTTAGCTTCTTCCCGTTGACCCAGCTCTTCCTCTTCACCATCTTCAACTCGTTCTACGGTAGGACCTTGGGCAGCCTGGAGGAAGCCCAGGGGGTGGTGGATCTCTGGTAGATGTTTACTGCTGAAGGGCTTCAGATGGGGGGCAGGGAGTGGGGTAAATTGGGGGCTCAAAGCCCCTGATTCCCCCTGTCAAAGCAGTTTGGGGGTGTATCAGCTTATAGGAAGAGGCGCTACCCTCTGATTTGTACAAGGGCACCCTATGGGCTAGCTAGTAAGCTCTGGCCTACTGGCCTTGAACAGAAAGAGATTCTGTGAGTTACTCCTGGGCAGCTACTCTAGCCCAGGAAGTTCCTGGATTCTGGGTGAGGCCCCTGCTCCCGCTGACCAGCCCTTTGCCTATAGGTTTCTTCCTCTTCCTGTGGTTCTGTTCCCGGAAGCACTACTACTCAGGGGCAAAGGCCAAGACCGAGATGGAGACAGTCAGCTCCTCCCGATCAATGCAGTAGGCTCACCTCCTGGGCCGGACCCTCCAGCCTGGCAGGCTGCTCCGGTCCAAGGCCCCAGATCTCATCCAAGAAGGCGGCAGGCCAGCTGAAGGACATGTGGCCGCTCGCCCTCCAGGGAGGCCTCTCCTCCTGTGAGGCTCCCCAGGCAGGGGGAGGGGTGTTGCTCTATCTCCACTGGCAGTCTGCTCAGGGGAGGTCCAGCACCACTTGGGGTGGCAAACCTTTTCCTGGTGCCTGGGCCCTGCTGGCCAGGCCTGTGGGCAGAGTGCTGGCCTGGGAGGCAGAGACCTTGCTTCAAGATCCGACTCTTGAACCTGTCATTTCTCAGCAACTTGTGGTTTCCACATCCGGGACCCTGCGGCAGGTAACTCTGGTTCTGCCTAGCCCAAGAGCTTTGTGAAGACAGGAGGAAGGGTCCCACTGGGGTGGGGGCTCCCCCACTGACCTTGTGTCCTTATCTCTACCTGCTTGCTGGGGATGGGGTCTCAGTCAGTCCCTCCTGGAAGCATCTGCTGGGCTCTGTCACCACCTTTGGGAAGGGCAGACCTCATCCTGGCTCAGGGGCCCCCACCCTGAGCTTAGAGACCTACCCAGTGTCTGAGGCCTTCCCAGCCTATCATGCTTGAGGCCTCTTTTCCTTTAACTCCAAAATTATGATGACTCCACTTCTAAACCCACCATTCACGAAGATCAGGAAGACCAATCCTTCCCAGAGGCTTCTCCACCAGTGCTCTCAAGGCCTTCCTCATTTTAGGAGGGGAGTGCCTGTTTCCCCTTTACCTGAGGCAGCTGGGCCCTGAGAATCTGGCTACCTCATGACTGGGTAGGGTGGACGCCCCCTGGTGGAGGTGAGGGTGTGGGTTCCGAATCCCAAGCTCAGGCAGCAGTTGTAGGAAATCATCATTGCTTGGACCTTGGCTCAGATCCGGGGGCTCTTCATGACTCGCGAAGCCAGCGCCATTCCCCGCCTGAGCACCAGGGGGCGCTGTTGGCTTGCGTTCGAAAGCCATTCCTCCAAAACCCTGTCTGGAGCCTCCGTGGCTGCGAACTGGACACACCGAGATGGAGGGGTCTTGCCTCCAAGGTGGCATCGGCTGGGAATGCTAGCTCTCTCTTTTCCCAACAGAATTGCCCTCTTGGGCTTTGGGGGGGGGGTCTTGGACATCCTTGGGCAGGGCAGGCGCTCAAGACCCTGCTCTGGGCTCTCAGACAGATTTTAATGACTTTGAGTGGCACCGGGAGGGATCACAGCCGGATTTCTTTTCTCCCAGGGGGAGCCACTGCTCTCTGTTCACTTCTTGATGCAAATAGCCCTTCACTAGGTGGTGAGAGGTGCAGGCTCTGCAGCCAGTCTGCCTGGACCCAGATGTCACTTGCTGGCCATGTGACTGTGGACAAGCCACCCAGCCTCTCTGTGCCTTGGTTTTCTCATCTCTAAAACAGGGGCACTTGTAGTCCCTATTTTGAAGCTGAAATAAAATAATTCAGGGCCTCCCCTGTGGCACAGAGGGTTGAGCGCAGCGCTGTGAAGCTGTCCGCAGCCTCTGCAGCTCGGGTTCGATTCCCAGCCAGCCAGGGAGAAACCCACATGGCGTGGCAGACCTCTCCTGCCTCGGCAGCTGCTCCCCTCAGCAGTGTATTTCAGTCAGTCTGCCTGTTCTGTTCCCCACTCTGTCTCTGGTGAATCCTCTCACCCTCCCACGCATGTGACCTGTACCCCAGTTCTTGTATAAAAATGAATAAATCTTAAAAAAAAAATTTACGCATCTGTCCTGTAACTACTCAGTCATTTCTTTTGCCTTTGCAAAGCAGCTCTCTGCCCACCTGTGTCTGTGCAAGTGTCTCTTTTTGTTTCTCCTTTTCCTAATAAAACTGTCCTTTTAAAATATAAAAAGAAAATAAAGGAAAGAAATATAAAATAACCCAAAGGCTAGCAATTATGATTATTATCATCATCTAATTCGTTACAATAACATAACAGCAAAGAACCTTGGAAGATCAATTTTTATTATTCCCCCCCCACACATCTGCCTACATACTTCATAGTCACAAAGTGAACTCAAAGAATATAACATCAGGAAATGAAAATAAGACCAGATACAACTAAAAAGATAAAAAAAGCAAAGAAAACAAAACAATACAAAATTCAGTTGCAAAATTATATCAAGAAACTGAATCCTCAACCTTCGAATCCAGAAAGCAAATGAATGCTGACAACACAAAAAAAGCATCCATTTGAAGAGGCTTTGCACGGAGTCCCTGCTCAGGAAGTGGTTGTTACTGTTATTGTGTGTTTTTGCTGTTATTAACCATGTCAGCTGAGCGCAGAGGCTGACCAGCCCCAGGCCCTGCTCCTCACTGGGGCACACCGTCTGTCCCTCACCTTTGCCACCTCCTTGCCCTCTCTCCTCAGAAAAGACCAGAGCCTTTGTTAGCCTTTGGCGGTTTCAGGAATATTCCCTACACAGTACAAGCTCCAGGCCATTGCCCCTACTTCTCCACCCCTCCTCTATTTATATAAAGTCCCAGGGGCTCACTTAGCACATCTTCCAGGAAACTCGCCAACTGCCAGGTCTTTCCTGCTCTGACTCCAAGCAGAGCACCCACCACTCTATCAGGGTGATGTACACCCCAATCCCAGCTGCCTTGGTTTGGCCCAGTCCCGAGTTGTACCCCAGGCCTTCGGGGTAGTCCCAGGCTAATGCGGGTGCTGAGGGGCCATGCCTCGTCTGGGGCAGCTCTAGGGAGCAGTGGCTCAGTGAGACAGGGCTCTGACTGGGCCCCCAGACCCCAACTTGCACTCTGCCTCTAGGACCCTACCAGGCCCAGGTCTGTCCAAGGGAGGATGTGGCCATAGAGACACAAGATGGGTCTGGTCTTCCAAGTAATGGACCCCGGTGTGAGGCTCTGAGCCCAGCTGGGGTCCAGACTCGGGGCAGGGACCACTTCCTGAAATGCTTCACTCCGGGAAGAAAAAGACCACTCGGGGCCTCCCTGCTCCCCCTCACCCCCAGCAAGGTCCTGACCTAGCCCAGGCTGGGTCCTGGTCCAGCTCTTGGGGTTTCCAGACTAGCAGACAGATGGAGCAGTTAGAGTCTGGGGTGCTACTGTGCCTGGGCAGGGTCTCCGAGGTGGCACTTGGTGAAGGATGAGAAATAGATGCTAGAGGGACACAGACTAGAGGTTTCTGCATCGTTTTATTGCTGTTGTTTCAGAAAGTCCTAGTGGGTCTGTGGGGAGCGGGCTTGAGAGCAGGGCTGGCAGATGAAATACAGGGTGTCCGATTTGGACGACACATACTGAAAAGGCATTTGTTGTTTATCTGAAATTCAGATTTAGCTGCACATCCTAAAGATTCTTTTGGTAAGTCTCACAACCCTTTTAGAAAGGAGCACTGGCCCGGAATCTGGGGTGTGCTTGCTTTACCCTGAGCTCACCCCCATGTGCTCTCTGCAAGTCCCTCTGCCCGCTGAGTGAGCCTGCACGTTTGCTGACTCAAGTCAAGGCTTCCCCAGTGCACCCCTTGCCAGCCAGCGTCATCACCAGGACTGTCTAAGGGACTGCTTTGTGGTACCCCCAAAATCGATCCTCTCCCGGGCCCGGCCTCCGCCCCTGCAGAGCCTCCTAACTGGCTCCCCACCTCCCATGCCCAGTCCCAGCTTTGCTCAGCAGCCAGAGAGAATTTTCCACACTGCCATCCCTGACCACTGCCTTCCTTGCTGAAACCCTCCACTTGCCCTCCCTCTTCGCTTAGGAGCTGAAGGGCCCATTTCTCCAGAGCCATCTCCCACCTCCATCCCCTCACGGATCCTGTCACAGTGAGCTGCTCTCATCTGCCAGAACAGGGCCTTGTCCTCTGCCTGGAACACTCCCTCACGCCATTCACTGTGGCAAGAAGACAGAGCATCTCCAAGATCTCAGCTTGGCCCTCCTCTAACCTCCCTGCTGTCCCTGACCTCTAGGATCTAAGCTGGGGCACAGCCCTGCCCGCTCGACCCACCCCACACAGTGTGACTGTCTGGGTCCCCATCGGGCTCAGCTGCCAGACTGAAAGACTTTTGGCCACAGGTCCTATGCCTTGTGGCCCAAGGATTCGTGTTCCCATCACACAACGCTAGGCCTCACCACACGCCAGGCTCCGTACTGGTGGCTGAGGACGTGTAAATGACCCGTCAGCACCTCCTAGTAGCGGGGAAGACATGAACGAGCAATTTAACCAGTAAACATAATATTTCCTGTGCAACGAAGAGAAATAAAAGCGGTGATGGGATAAAGTGGCAGGAGCTCAGGTTTCAGCACAGCCTGTGGAGGCGGGAGCCCAGGTGCTTCAATGCAAAACTCACCAAGTCACCAGAAGGCAAGCTTGACCTTCTCGAGAGCAACAGATTTAGTCCCCAGGGAACAGGAGCTGGAGTGGGAGATGTTTAAAGAAATAAAGGGGCCTCCCTGGTGGTGCAAGGGGTTAAGACGCAACCTATGAAGCTATCCGTAGCCACTGCAGCATGAGTTCAAGCCCTGGTCAGGGAGCTACCCACATGGTGCAGCAGACCTCTCCTGTCTCACCCGCTGCTCCCCTCAGCAGCGTACTTCGGTCGATCTGCCTGTTCTGCTCCCCACTCTGTCTCTGGTGAATCCTCTCACCCCCCACACCTCTGGCCTGTACCCCAGTTCTTCTATATATAAATAAATCCTTAAAAACAAAAAAAATAAAGAAAGAAAAAAGATGACAGAAATGAGCATATGAAGCAGATAGCAAGGAAGAGAGATGTAGGGAGAAGATGTGTGGAGCTTCTAGCAATGAAAGAATTTCAAGCTCTGAACTTCAATGAATGGTAAAAAGCTGCTCTGAGAATTAGTGACCTGGAAGCTCCGTATGAAGAATGCAGAAAGAGGGATAAGGAGGTGCATGACAAGAAAGAGAGAAGAGACTTGGAGGCTAGAACGAGAAGCTCTTCCATGAGGGAGTGGCAACAATCGAGGGGATGGGGATAGGGCAGCATTTGACACCGGGCCCATCTGGCTGCGTGGTTTATCCCGTTGATCTGCTCATGATCACCCAGGTGATGCAGTGTGTGTCAGCTATTT